CATACGTTAAGAGAAGTATCAGGTTCTAAATTGGATATTAGATATAAATTAACAGATGCAAAAATTTGTACAGAAAATGTTTGTATACCTATTAGTTTCACGGTAATTAAAAACATGAGTAGTAATACCATGATCTTAGGAAACCCCCTTTTTAGAGATGATATTACCACTAACTATTGATAAAGATAAAATCATAGGATCTTATAAGAATCAACCTGTTATATTAAATTTTGTCTCTGACCCTTATTCTATCTGGGTCAATGAATTGAATTTAAAGAGAAACCAAATAAATTTTCTGAAAGAAGAAATCAGAAATGTTCAAATAGATGAACAACTAGAACAACCTAAGTTACAGGAAAAAATAAAATTTTTAACAAATCAATTCTCCTTGAATATATGTAATGATCATCCTAATGCTTTTTGGGAAAGGAAAAAACATATAGTTATGCTTCCTTATGAGGAAGACTTCAATGAAAAACAAATTCCTACCAAGGCAAGACCTTGTCAAATGAATTTCGAATACTTGAATATATGTAAAAAGGAAATAACTTCCTTATTAGATAAAAAACTAATACAACCTTCCAAATCTCCATGGACATGCACTGCCTTTTATGTAAATAAACATTCTGAACAAGAAAGAGGAATACCAAGGCTAGTTATAAACTATAAACCTCTTAATAAAGTCCTAAAATGGATCAGGTATCCTATTCCTAATAAAAAAGATTTATTAGATCGATTACATGATTCTTTAATATTTTCAAAATTCGATTTAAAATCAGGATATTGGCAAATACAGATTGATAAGAAAGACAGATATAAAACTGCCTTCAATGTCCCTTTTGGACAATATGAATGGAATGTTATGCCATTTGGCCTAAAAAATGCCCCTTCAGAATTCCAAAATATAATGAATGAGATATTTAATCCTTATAGCAATTTTATTATTGTATATATAGATGATATCTTAGTCTTTTCGAAAAATATTCAAGAACATTTTGATCATTTGCATACTTTTGAAAAAATAATAATAAACAATGGTTTAGTAATATCACAATCTAAAATGTCCTTATTCCAAACAAAGGTAAGATTTTTAGGACATAATATCGAAAAGGGACAAATTATTCCTATACAAAGAAGTATAGACTTTGCTGTGAAATTTCCAGATGAAATAAAAGATAAAACTCAGCTACAAAGATTCTTAGGTAGCCTAAATTATATATCACCTTTTTATAAGGATTTATCAGCCGATAGTGCAATTTTATACGACAGATTGAAAAAGAATCCTTGTGCTTGGACTAGTGATCATACTCAAGCAGTTAAAAGAATAAAAGATAAAGTTAAAAGCCTACCATGTTTATCTTTAGCTAATCCTAATTGGGAAAAGATAGTAGAGACAGATGCCTCTGAAATAGGGTTTGGAGGAATTTTAAAACAAATTCACCCTAACAGTAAGCAAGAATTCTTAGTCAGATTTCATTCTGGAAAATGGACTCCTAGTCAGAAAAATTATTCTACTACTGCTAAAGAAATATTGGCACTGGTAAAATGTATTCTCAAATTTCAAGATGATTTATATAATCAACATTTTATTATCAAAACAGATTGTCAGGCAGCTAAATTCATGTTTAATAAAGACTTTAAACATGATGTTTCTAAACAAATGTTTACTAGGTGGCAAGCTACATTAGCATGTTTTGATTTTGAAATTCAATATAAAAAAGGAAGTGATAATAGTCTTCCCGATTTTTTAACTAGAGAATTCCTAAATGAATTATCACCAGCTAAGACAATTATCAAATGATATTACTAATATAAAAAATTGAATTAATGAGGCAGAAGTTGAACTGGCCAACTTAGCCAATGAACCATATTCTAGTAAGACAGGAATTAATTTAAGATTGATAGGATTAAGGATCCAACTCAAGAATCTTGAAAACAAACTCATATTACTCTTAAATTAACATTTCCATTTGCAGGATGAATCCCAATCGTGGAAGAGGCCATCCTTCATATAGAGGTGGTTATCATAGAGGTCGAGGAAATCCTACGGCTTCAAGCAGTTCTTATAGAACTGGAAATTCATCACAAACAAATGATCAATCTCTTCCAGTTCCTGGAAGCCCTTTATATGAGGAGTTTAAAGCATTTTTGGAATCAAAAAGGGAAAATACTCCCACTCTCGCTCAAATGATCACAGATGGTGAAACCATCAACGATAATTTTGAATATAAGGAATCATCTCATAGAGATAATATTATTATTTTGGAGCATAAAGATATAATGCTTTATTTTGAGAATAATGACGATCTATGGTTTTTAATGACTAGATACTTGGATACAGCGACATACGCTGGATATTCTTACAAACAAAGATTATATTATGAAAATATTTTGAAAATAACCGGATCAGTTGAATTTTCTCATTTTACATCCGGAGGTAATACCAGTGTTTACAATTTTAGTAAAGCCATTATCAAAAAGATCATATCACCTGAGGAATGGGGTTTAAGTACCCTCAAGGAAAAAGAATTTTTAATCCCTCCTTCAAAAATACCAATGAAATTTACATATTGGGATTATATTGAAAGCTTTCATAAAGCCTTTTTATATGAAAATCCTCAGAGAAAGCATACTTGGTTTTTTAAAGTATGTGAAAAGGTTTATAACCAAAACAGAGATATACCAAATTGGTTTACTAATTGGTGGATCTCATACGGCCCGAGTATAGATATCCTCCCTGAGGAACCATTCAGGAAATTATATGGGGAATGGTTACCTGTCTCTCCAAGATACCGAGACCAAGTTATACCCTTGAAATCAGAAGGATTGGAAGCAATATCTTCTATGCATTTTTTCATGGAATTTTCTATTCCTTGGATCTGGAAATGGTCCCCATATGTGGATTATACTCCCTCTAAATTTCCTTCCCTACAAAGGTCATACTTTACCAAATTTTGGCCTAAAATGCTTCACAAGAATCCAGAAACAAAAATCCTTAATGCTCAGGAAACAATTGATCATATCAATCAACAAATTAAGAAATACCAAGACGAGAAACTTTTTTCGGAAATAGCCTCCTCAACAGAAGTGACCCCCTCAACTCCTCAAAAAGTTAATTTAACTAAAGAGGAAATGATCAAGTCATTCCGATTATATTGTTCTGAATTAAAAGAAAATCTTAAAAGATTTTCAAAACATGATACAGATGAAGGTTCAAATGAAGATATTCAAGATAATATGTCAGTTGATAACCAAAGCCAAGGCCAATCACCATGCTTAGCAGGGGAATCCCAGCCAGATGATGAAGAAGTTCCAGATGGAGAACTCCCAATTGATTGTATAATTGACATGATTGAGGAATCAATCACACAAAGAAAGAATCTTTCAAAAAACAAAAAGACATCACCACAATAGACTAAAGGTGACAGGTGGGTGGACCAAAATAAAAGAAGAAGATATTCTTCAAGAATTATTGAAGACAGAAGAAAATACTCGTCAGACATTATTAAAGCCAGAAGAATCAAACAAAAAGTCATTTCTACTTTTCTTAAAGTTGTCTGCCAATGCTAAATGTAATAATTTAGGTTTTGTTTGTTTTCGAGTCCTCCTGATCTATTTAAGGAGCCTCTATCTTATGTTTTAGGCAGGCTGAAAGCCATTTTCCTCTTTCTCTCTTGTAATCCCTCCTCTGTAAAAAACCTTTCTGCAACAAAAGTCTGAAATATATTTGGAGTATCAAAGTTTTATTGCGGTACATCAATCTTGGATTCACCTTTCTGGTTAGTTTACTTTCTTAAACTTAATTTTATTTTCAAGCCTAATACAAGGCTAACTTGTTAATATCACATAGTATTATCATGGAAGCAGTATCATGATCGGCAAATCATAAAAAAAAAAAAGAGTCTGGAATGGAAAAAGGCAAAGTCGTGTTTTAGCCCGCTTTTGTGGCCACAGTGCTTTTATGAGCGTTTTACTCATTGACTCGCCTATCTCACCCAACTCTTTTTTGTTTTTTAATTCGTTATCTGCTTAATCTGCTTATGATCCTGCATGAAAAAGAGTCTGGAATGGAAAAAGGCAAAGTCGTGTTTTAGCCCGCTTTTGTGGCCACAGTGCTTTTATGGGCGTTTTACTCATTGACTCGCCTATCTCACTCAACTCTTTTTTGGGCTAAAACACGACTTTGCCTTTTTCCATTCCAGACTTTTTTTTTTTTTTTTTTTTTTTTTATGATTTGCCGATCATGATACTGCTTCCATGATAATACTATGTGATATTAACAAGTTAGCCTTGCATTAGACTTGAAAATAAAATTAAGTTTAAGAAAGTAAACTAACCAGAAAGGTGAATCCAAGATTGATGTACCGTAATAAAACTTTGATACTCCAAATATATTTCAGACTTTTATTGCAGAAAAGTTTTTTACAGAGGAGGGATTACAAGAGAGAAAGAGGAAAATGGCTTTCAGCCTGCCTAAAACATAAGATAGAGGCTCCTTAAATAGATCAGGAGGACTCAAAAACAAACAAAACCTAAATTATTACATTTAGCATTGGCAGACAACTTTAAGAAAAGTAGAAATGACTTTTTGTTTGATTCTTCTGGCTTTAATAATGTCTGACGAGTATTTTCTTATTTTTTGTAAATAAAAAAAAAAAAGTCTGGAATGGAAAAAGGCAAAGTCGTGTTTTAGCCCGCTTTTGTGGCCACAGTGCTTTTATGGGCGTTTTACTCATTGACTCGCCTATCTCACCCAACTCTTTTTTGTTTTTTAATTCGTTATCTGCTTAATCTGCTTATGATCCTGCATGAAAATGGTATAGCCATTTTTATAAATGTCATTACTACTTTTTTTCTTATTTTTTTGTAAATATACTATTATATATGTAAAAGAAGTAAACAACGTGAGACTGGTAAGTTCTGCGGGCTAATTGATGTGGGTCTTAGCCCGGCCCATCCTATAAATACTTATACGAACATGCTTTCCGTCTCTAAAATCTCAGTTAGGGTTTATTGCCCCCTTCACTTCTTAGTTCGAAGTTCGAACAAGAAAACACCCAGACGTGTTCTTCAGCAGGAGCAACAATGGCGGGTGGTTCTCGAGCTCAAGTCAATAAGTCGCATAAGACACGTTTTGCTTCGAAATCCTCTCGCAATGTTCACAAAACATCCGTCAAAGGTTCGAAGTTTTTTCGCACCTATTTTGTCTTATTAATTTGCTTTTTTGATACAACACACCTAAATATGGAATTACTGCAAGATGTTAAATAATTACGTGTTTGTTTGAAACATTACTACCCCCTTGGTTGCAAATAAAAACGAGCTACACTATTGATTTCGGAATTTGGAATGTTGTTTCGGTGTGCATAAAAGTGGAGCTATACTTTGAAATTGGTTCATTCATCTCTAGAAAGTTGATTGTGATTTTGAAACTTCAAAATATTATATGAATTTTTCTAATGTTATAACAAGTTTTACACTAGGAATGGTGGTGGTAGCAATCCAAGTCCGGGTAGCTACTGTAATGTACCAAGTTTGATAGGCATATTTCATAATCTAGCTATTTGAACCTCATCTAGCTCTCTTTTTTGGACCACCTGTTACTAAATTTAATAGAGTTTTGTTTAAAGTTATTGGAAACTAGCAAGTAAGGCTTATAAGAAGCTCACTTTTTCACAATCTTGGCTGTATTGAGATAGGATGCTACATTTGTTTAACATGTAACAACATCCATATTAACATTGCATTTGGAAACTACATTTGACACTAAGAGTATGTGTAGGCTGTAGCTTTGTTCTTTGGAGCAAATGCAATCTGATTTTAGAATAAGGATTAAGGAATTGTGTGTATTATTGAAAGTTTTATTCACCACATGTTTTCTGATTATTTGACTGGATATTAGATAAAAGCAAGATCAACAAACCTGATCGCAATGCCATGAAGGGGGCTCGGGCTGCTCGATTACAACGTAACAAAATGGTAATTTGATTATCTTACTGGAACTTGCCATATATTAATGTTCCTTTTTGAATTGAATCATAAAGAATGACTTAATAAAGAAAGTCTGGGAAATTAGGCTTTAACCATTAATTCCTGTCTTTTTACATATTTGCCCCCATTGATCGTTTGGTTTGAATGATGTAGATGAGAGAGCAGAAGAGAGCTGCCCTTTTGAAAGAGAAAAGGACTACAAGTGCAACAACTAGTGCTCCTCGTGTTATTGTGAGTATTTTCCATGTAGAATTTACTTTATTGACCTTGTGAAACTTCATTTAGTTTGGCATTCACAATTTCGATCTGTTTTTATATGTTTCAGGTTTTATTTGGTCTATCTGCTTCTACAAATGTAAGCTCACTAGCGGGTGATATTTCTGCATTATTGTCAAATGAGAATAATGCAATTCAATTTCCAGCAGTTGCATCATCCGAGTACAGGCTAAGAGCAACGGTAGGTCCCACATTATGTTACCTCCTCATTTAGCCCTATCATGGTATTAAGTTTTTAAATTTTGAATGTTTTAACATTTGAATGGATGATAAACATTATAAGATACAAATAAACTTACATCGCTGTTTTCTTGAATTTAGCTTTATCTTGATATTAGGCCTTATAGAACATCTAAACGGATGATAGGCATTTTAACATCTGAGTGGATGTTAAGCCTTATAAAACTTCTGGGTTCTTATGTTACTTGATTGATGAATGCTACATTGAGCTTTAAAGGTGAAAGTTTAGGTGTATGAGTGTATCTTACCTTTCCTTGTTTCTATAGGTTGTAGAAGCACCTCATGGTGATCTTATGGCATGCATGGAAATGGCCAAGGTACTTCAATTTCATTGGTTGAAACATAATTATTTTGATCTTTTTCTTTTTTTGGTTAATTTATATTGATGTCCAATTAACAAATTGTCAAATTCAATCATAGGTTGCAGATTTGATTGTTTTTGTGGCTTCTGGCAACTGTTCAAGTGAAAAAGATAGTTCCAATTATTACATGGATGAATTTGGCTCACAGTGTCTTTCTGTGTTTAGAGTTCTTGGTTTACCAAGTTCTGCTGTTTTCATTCGAGTGAGTACTTACCAAAATTCTTTGTTTCTAAAAGGCAAGTATTTAGTTTTTATTGACAGTGGATTTTTTTTTTGCATATCCATCACTGAAGAATTTACCTTCTGATTTAAAAAAAAGAAATGATATTAAGAAGACATGCATTTCTAGCCTTTCTTCTGAATTCCCTGAAGATTGCAAGTTTTACCCAGCAGACACAAAAGATGACTTACACAAGGTATGTCCCCCAAATCCCAATGAACAACTTAGGGGCTGTTTTTTTTTCAAACCATTTGAATGAGCCTAAGTTACTATTTTACCCTTACATATCAAACCAAATTTCACAATATTCATCAATTTTAACACGAGAGGAGTTTGGAGCCATGTATAGCTGTCCAGATTAAGTGCTAAAGTTCATAATTCAGAAAGAAACAGCTCTCTCTTAATATGCTTTGAGTTAAAGCATGATAAATGTCAGATTCATGTGGCTTAACTCTTAATTTGACATGGTGTCTATGTAGTTCATGATGCTTTTTAAGGAGCAAAGGCTTGTGATACCTCATTGGCGTACCCAACGACCTTACATCATGGCTCAAAAGGTAATCTCTCTTTGCTTTTATAGTCATAATAATGAGCAAATCCTTCACTTTTATTTATTTATTTATTTGAAACAATATCTATCTTTGTAGTATGGTAGCTTATGTAATAATACCATGGCAGGTTGACATGGTGGCCGATGAGTTTGGAAAAAGTACACTTCTCGTTACTGGTTATGTTCGTGCTCGTAATCTCTCAGTGAATCAGCTGGTATTTGTTTTTTTTTTCTTTTAAATATATTTTTTTGTCGTTTTGTGGCTTGATATATTTGATTGAGTGGCTAACCTATTTTTCATCAGGTTCATGTATCGGGTGCTGGTGATTTTCAGTTGGGCAAGATTGAAGTTCTCAAGGATCCATGTTCATTGAATTTGAAAAAAGAAGGTGATTTTATGGATGCGGATGAGATAAATGACTCACAGGTATCTATTATTTTTTTATGAATAATGTTAAATGAATATTCGATTAGTTTGTATACTTTTAAATTTTAATATCTGCCAGCTGATTTACTTGATATTGCAATATGAAATGTTACAGGTCATCAAAACTTTACTCCCTGATCCTATGAAGCAAGAGCCTTTACTTGTTGAAAATATACCTGATCCTCTGGAAGGCGAACAGGTAACTTTTACATACAACTTTTTTGCTATTCTTATTTATAATAATCCGCCCTTGTTTTTTTTTATAGTGTTCATTACCTAATCTGTTAACTTTAATTTCTTTCTTTTTTATATTCGCCCTATTTTGGAAAAATAATTTTGTTTGAAATTGATATTCTTAGATGGGCTAAATGCAAGTACTAGCAACATACTTTCCTCTATTTCCCTATTATATTTATAGCATCCTATTTTCAATTCTTTCTATTACAACATTGTACTTTCAGTATTTTTCTTATTAAGGTATTATACATTGAAAAACCTACCCAATTGTAGCATTGTAGTTTCAAAAATTTTCTTATGAAGTCTTTCTACTTTGGAAAAAATAACCCAATTTTAGCATTGTAGTTTCAATTATTTTCTTGTTATGACATTATATTTGGAAAAAATGATATCTAATGATAGCAGTGAAAACAGTGTCTTATTTGGATGACATTGCTCTGATGTTTGGATTTTCAAAGTATGATGTTGTAATGTGACTACAATAAACGAATCAAATAATTAATATTTGACTTGGTGGAAGTCATTCTTCATTTTATGTTTTGTTATTTTTTTAGACATGGCCAACAGAGGCAGAGATGGCTGATGCTGATAGAGTACAGAAGGAAAAGAAGCAGAAAAAGAGGTCTCTTCCACGGGGTACTTCTGAATACCAGGTAAGCAATTTTCTCAACATTACAAGTGTCTTCTTTTATATAAAAATAATTAATTATAAATTTGAATTTACAGGCAGCATGGATTGTGGATGATTCTGATGTATCTGGTACAGATAGTGATGATGATTCAGAGAATGGTAATGGCATGGTAGTTGATGAAGGAGGAGAGTATGACATCCCTGGTCAAGGTGATAGTAGGAAGTTTGACCTTGGTGATGACCAAGCTTCACTCAAGCTTAGGGATTCTGATGATGAAACTGAAGCTGATTCCATGATGATGGTATTTTTACACTTTTTTTTTTATTGCTGTTTGCATGATGTTTATATATGTGTTTTTTCATAGTATCTTTTGGTAAGTCATGCTAAGAATTGCAACTGATAGTGTTTGGTATGATGGAATCAGGGAATGTGATCCATTTTGTTAATTTTTTAAGTTGCATGAGTTGGTTAAATTTGAGTATCATTTCTAAAGTTTACTAGAAAATGTATTTTGTATTAAATTTAAGATGGGTTATGCCTTTTAAATTAGCTTTTTGGCATGTCTATTTTTAAATTTCGTAAATGAAAAATAATTAAATATATAAGTGTAAGTTACACAAAAACATATACTTTTTTTCACCCTTTACCTAAAAATGGATTGTATTTTATTTATGGTTGCAGGATAATGACAACTTGACAAAGGAGCAGATAGAAGAAGATATTCGGAAAATAAAAGAAGCACATGCTGAAGATGAAGGTATTCACTGATTTCTTGTCAAAGAAAACATCTGCACAAATTATGATAAAGAATTCTTTCCATCACGTGTTGTCCAATAATTGATGTTTATAAATCATTTGAGAAAATACAACACACTAAACTGAAAAGAAAAAATACATAAGGCCAAATTTGCAAAAAAAAAAAATTAGGACTTATTTAGGAATGTCTCTTATCCCTGACTCTTTCTATTAAGTCAAAAAAATAAATAAGGGCAAATTTGTAAAAAGTTTAGTTCTTAATCCGATTGGTTGTTAATTTGGTTTCAGAGTTCCCAGATGAAGTTGATGCTCCTGTAGATATTCCTGCAAGGAAACGATTTGCTAAATACAGAGGCCTAAAGTCATTTAGGACTTCCACATGGGACCCTAAAGTAAGTCCCTCTTTTTTATTCCTCATTTATGATTGAACTCAAATGATTTTTGGTTAACAATTTATTTTTTTAATATCTCAGGAATCTTTACCTCAAGAATATGCAAAAATCTTTGCATTCGATAATTTCAATAGAACACAGAAGCATGTTCTTAAAAAAGCTCTGGACATGGAACAAGGAAGTGTAGATGAATGTGTAGTTGCAAATTCTTATGTCACACTTCACATCACACAAGTTCCCATTCATATTGCTTCAAAACTTTGCATTTTGGGAAAGACTATGCCAGTTGTTGCATGTGGGCTCTTGCAACATGAATCAAAGATTTCTGTCCTTCACTTCAGGTATCTATCTAATTAAATGCACACCTTCCTATTTTACCCTTAATGGCTATGCACTTATATTTCTTTATGGCGAATGTGCTAACGTCTCTTGTGGTTTATAAATTTTAACTTGTATTCAGTATATTTATGTTAACAATTTTTCTAGTGTTATTCAGTCTTTCAGAGTTTTGAATAATTTTTTGTTTGTGTAGGTTAAAGAAACACGAGACATACAGTGAGCCCATAAAAGCCAAAGAAGAACTAATATTTCATGTTGGATTCAGACAGTTTGTCACAAGGTAGCATCCGTGTTCTTTTTGTAATTTTTTACAACTATGATTTTGATATAATGAAATTTATATGATCATCAGATCTTGACCACTGATTAAAAAAATTGCAGGCCGACTTTTGCAACTGACAGTTTTAATTCAGAGAAACACAAGATGGAAAGATTTCTTCATGCAGGACGCTTTTCTATTGCTTCAGTATATGCTCCAATCACTTTTCCTCCTCTTCCATTAATTGTTATGAAGAGTAGAGGTGATTTTTTCCACACCTGTCCTTGCTGCTGTTGGCTCATTAAAAAGTATTGATCCTGATAAAATCATTCTCAAAAAGATCATTTTGACCGGGTAAGAAACACTTGATATCTCGATGGTTGTCAAATGACTAAACTACCCTTCCTCAATGACGAAATAGTAACATAGTTTGGGTTGAAAGCTTTTGTGTTATTTATTGTGTATGATGCAGATATCCTCAACGTGTTTCAAAGTCAAAAGCTGCAGTACGATATATGTTCCATAACCCTGAGGATGTCAAATGGTTCAAGGTACATACATACATGTTTATTTGCAGTAGTAGCCAATGAGAAAAATAAAAATAAATCAAAAAAGACGTAAATGCCCCCTGTATAATAAAATTTTATAATTTTATACAGCCCGTGGAAGTTTGGACAAAATTGGGTCGCCGTGGACGCATTAAGGAGCCCGTTGGTACACATGGTATGTTCTTTTTGATATTGCTATAATTTAGTACAAGTTTAAAAAAAAAGGAGTAAATTACACGAATGGTCCCTATGGTTTGGGGTAATTTGCATGTTTGGTCCATAACTTATTTTTTCTAACTCGGAATGTCTCTACAGTTTGTTTTTGTCGCGTGCTTGGTCCCTATTTTACCTAAAAAGACTATTTTGCCCTTGATTTTTTAATTTGTTTAAGTAATGTCGGGTAGGTTAGGTAAGGTAAGGTGAGGTGGAAGTGGGGTTGGGGGTGTGTAACAAAGACAAACAGTAGGGACCTTCCGAGTTAAAAAAATAAGTTAAGGACCAAACGTGCAAATTACCCCAAACCATAGGGACCATTCGTGTAATTTACTAAAAAAAAATACAATTCTGCAATAGTAAGAAATGAAAGTAGGAGATAATTATATTTTATGTTATTTGTTTTTTTGTAGGTGCGATGAAATGCATATTAAACGGTGTGCTACAACAAAATGACACGGTGTGCATGAGTCTATTCAAGCGAACATACCCCAAATGGCCCCAACATTGGTTCCCAATGTCGGCTTGAGTTATTTGATGTGTGAGTGTCAGTCACGTTCATAAAGGTTCCTCCTCCTCCTCTGTCTTTACTTTACAGTTTACACAGAGAGGGACAAGGGACAAGTGTGAGTGTTCCAACACAACCATGGGAATGAAGCTTTGGTTCAGATTGTTTTCCTGCTAAGTGCTAATCATAGCGGGTGACAAAAAAAAAGTTTTGCTTGTTTTGTATATATATACACTTTGTATTCTCCTTATTGTATGCGGTTTCAAAACTAAGATGATAGTGTTTACGGATTATGATTGATTCTTGTAAGTTGGGTGTTTTTCAGGTTCTAAGTCGATTGTAATTGAATGGTTTATAATTTATTTTTTTTATGTTCTTTTTTACTTTTAGGCTGTTTTTTCTTACATGGATTGGTGTATTACTTTTTCGATCATCATAACTTGTAACTTCAACTACAAATGTATGTGATGAGCCTCGACATACACAACTGATATGGATTCTAAATGACACACTACACTAGTTAGTAACCAATTTATATTTAGAAGAATTCTCGTATTTTGCGTTTCAAGAAACTCCTCAACTCCATCCATGATCTCTTGGGCTTCATAAATTTGTCATCTTTAAGTTCTATCTTCCTCTTAACCAGCTCAGAAGATATGATATAATGTCATAACCCTTGGTAGCATTTATTACTTTGGCTACTTCTTTTAGGGCAACAAAGTAAAGGGTGTCTGTAAGATCCAACCTTGTTTATCATCAACGTCTAGGTAGAATATCCCATGGACTGCCTTTTGGATATACTTCAGATTTTTGAACTTGACATTTTCGAGAAGTATGGTACCCCACAAGTCACAACAATGGATAGCAAAGCAAACCCATATTGATCACCTCAACCCATTAGCATCTATAACAATTGTGCTTATTGTGTCGTACTCTTGATGGTAGATACTTATAAACACGATCAATCTTCTTATTCTTTGTCATCTTCATCAACTCTCCAATTTCAAGTAAGATCAAAGGCTCCAAAAGTTCTATTTTAAACATCCTATGTGTTGTTATAATCTTTCTAGTTCTTGTAACTGGATCCTCTTTGTGGTTTTGTTAAAATGGTCTTAAAAATAAACTAATTATTTTAAATGCTCCTGTTGATGCTTAAAATTGTTTTTATAGAAAAGATCGTTTTTAGCTTTCCAAAACACATCATTGTTTCTGATGTTCTCCTATATCTATTCAGTTGATTCAAATGATGGCATTTTGGACATGTAAAGTTTTTCGGGATGAACATATTTCCTCATAACAAGTCTGAATGATCACACTTGTAGATCAACTCTTGGAAAAACTATATTGTATCATCTTTTAACATGTGTTTGTTGTTCCTCATCCTGTACAATAGCTATTTCCCACTCTTTTAGTTGGGATATGGATTTTACTCGTGTATTAGCATCACATTATGTTCTCTCTCTCTCTCTCTCTCTCTCTCTCTCTCTCTCTTAGTTGGGATATGGACTGTACTCTGTTTGGACGCGTAATATATCGTTTGAAGCTTCGTTCAAGGAGATTAGGAAAATGAAAATGAACTAATTATTATTGAAAATCGACAACCACTATCGTGATTTCTACATCTACGTGTCCACATAGGTTGTTTATAGCAAACTATTTAAAGTTTATAAATCGGTTTATACTTATATAATAAATAAAAGTTGTACCGTTACAACATTCTATCATCTTTTTAAAGTTGTGTATACAAATTTCTTGAGAATGACATAACCGATGCGGATATTATTTTCTCCTTGTTTGTCTAGGCTACCAACCATTAGAATATATATCAAAATAGACAAATATTTGTGTTTTGTGCAGAATACAACTATAGAGTTAAATTTTTTACATATACATGTTGAAAATAATAAAAACATTAAGTACAAAATAATAACTCTTACACTAATTTGATATATAAATTTGTAAATATTTGAACAGTATTATAAAATATACATCTATTAAAATTATATTATTCAATAGCACTTGTCTACGGTTTGCGTTTAATAAAATTAAACATGGTTTTCTATTTAGTACTTCAACTTAATGTTATGATCGATTAATTTAGAAATTACTAATCTGTTGATTTTTTTTTTTAAAATTTCGATTATAATGATCAATTGATATATAAACAATAATTTGTTAGTTAATTAAAAACCACTTCTTTTGTTTTGAATTATAATAAAAATAATATTTTATTATTTTTATTTAATTTGATTTGTTGTTCTACATTTACAACATTTCATTTTTTTAGACTATTTTAAAAACTAGTATTTGAATATATTTTTTTAAGTTTATTTGATATTTGATTTATATTTGGAGTTGACATAAATTTAAATCAACAAATAAGTGTTTTATAGTAATATTTTAAAAATCAATCAATAATTGAATAATATTTTATATTTAATAACATACTAGCCGTTTACCCGCACTAAGCGCCGGACGGCAAAAAGTTTCTTTCGGAAGATAGTTTTAATGTGATGATTAGTTTCCTTTAGACGTGAGCTATTCATTGCGACCATTTGGTAGACTATTTTGTGTCGAATAGTTTATTTCAACGCATAGTTTCTTGCTAGGTGCATAGTCATACAATACGACAGAAGTTGAGTCAACATTTGGAATTTCATCTAATAGTTCATACTTGATTTTACAATATATAAATAACAACAATCTACAATCATGTAGTTTTGTACATTTATAACATGTCCAATATATAAACTACACCAATCTGCAATCATGTTGCTTCATCTGCTAGCCCTGCATTAAACATCAAATGAACATCTAAGATACATATTTGAAGAAATTGTAAAATAATAAGTTGTTGATTGTACCTTGTTAATCACATAAAACTTCTTTGTACACAACGTTTGATGTGTAGATTCCATCATTATCAAACGTTTTTTCCAGCTTTACTAATACATTGGTATTGACACGTGATATTCTTCTGGACAACGCCACATAAAGTTGGCCATGTGAGAATACCGATTATGGCAGATAAACACCTACATTTGGAATTGTTTGTCGTTGAGCTTTATTGATTGTCACAGAGAAACTAAGCTGAATTGGAAATTGCTTTCTCTTTAGTTTTGAATGGGAACATCTCATCGTCAGACGGGCATAGAGGAATTCTTTGTAAAAACACTATTTTTCCAGCATGTTGACCAACCGCTATCTCTGCATCAATGACATTTTGTTGGAAAACTCGACATATCAATCTGGTGTCATTACATAACCCATTTGAAGGATCGATATTTCGCAAAAGTATTACTGGGCACCCAGTTTTTAACCGAAGATAATGAGGGGGTACATCACTAACATTTAGCGAGTTCAAATATTCCATCGGATATAAGTTATTTTTGTCATCTTCCGCTTCATCAAAACTGTAGTAAACTTTTTCCATCGGATATAGGTATTGACACGTGATATTCTTCTGGACAACGCCACATAAAGTTGGCCATGTGAGAATACCGATTATGGCAGATAAACACCTACATTTGGAATTGTTTGTCGTTGAGCTTTATTGATTGTCACAGAGAAACTAAGCTGAATTGGAAATTGCTTTCTCTTTAGTTTTGAATGGGAACATCTCATCGTCAGACGGGCATAGAGGAATTCTTTGTAAAAACACTATTTTTCCAGCATGTTGACCAACCGCTATCTCTGCATCAATGACATTTTGTTGGAAAACTCGACATATCAATCTGGTGTCATTACATAACCCATTTGAAGGATCGATATTTCGCAAAAGTATTACTGGGCACCCAGTTTTTAACCGAAGATAATGAGGGGGTACATCACTAACATTTAGCGAGTTCAAATATTCCATCGGATATAAGTTATTTTTGTCATCTTCCGCTTCATCAAAACTGTAGTAAACTTTTTGCTCGCCAGAAAATCGTTCGATCAACTTATTATTAATCTCATCAACACTTTCATTTTTAGTTGACAATATCGCCCTCGAAATGATAAATTTTGAATCGGCGCCGTTGGATTGCAAAGAAGGAAATATTGCATTAATCAGAGCGTCCACTGAATTAAGTTTATCAGTGTATGGAATGGACATGTTATCAGGTATACGAATAAAGGAATCGTCCAATGTTTCCTCCTTTCCATGACCGACTCGTAATAAAAAATCAGAAAACCATGGGTCATTTACCGCTCTCATGTTGATATTTAATCGAAGCCTTTTAACTGAAGCCCATAGAGGTGACATTCGTAAGCTAGAGTCCACAATTTGTGCTCGAGTGTCACGTCTCACGACCGACAACACTTGTCTAAAGTCACCTCCCATAACCATTATCTTTCCACCGAAAGGGAGCTTCTCGTCTGTGATGTCGTGCATTGTCCGATCAACTGCTTCTACCGCCTGCCTCTTAGCCATTGCTGCTTCATCCCATATGATTACCTTTGCCTCGCGAAGTAGCTGAGCCTTCCCGCTTTGTTTAGTGATCTTGCACATCGAGTTATTATCAAGATTGGGGGGAATTCCAAACCGTGAATGAGCTGTTCTCCCTCCTGGCATGTTGTTAGTCGCAACACCTGACGTGACAGTTGCAAGTGCAATAAGACTACGGGCACGAATATTGGCCAACAAAGCTTTGTACAAAAATGTCTTTCCAGTTCCACCGGGACCATCTATGAAGAACACACCCGAAATATTTTCATCCACATGCCTCATTATCTCATCATATGCAAACTTCTAGTCTGGATTGAGAGAGTCTCGCGCAAGTAAGTCTTCATTTTCCACATTTATAGAGTATTCTTCTTGCACCTCACGATAGCCTCTTGATTGTAAATCGATGTGTGCACTGTCATTTGGAAGGTCGTAATCACTAAGCTTTTTACTCATAGATTCTAGGACGACTCTAATGTCGATGAGGACCATATTTTGCACTCGTTCGACACATCCATATTGTTTCCTATAATCTTCAGAAAGAGAATCATAGTGGTCGTCCCATAACTTGCGAACATTTCCTGGTTCACAAAAAATCAGCATCGTCGCAAATAACCTTCTAAGTGCGCTGGGAAATTGAAATAAGGAAGCCTCTACAAGACATTGTGATAAATTATCATCGGTCTCTATTAAACCTCTTTCAAGAGTTGCTTTTCGAAATGTAGGGTGTAATACACCATTGGCTGTGTATAAATCTTCAAAGAAGGTAGGCCCAGTAATATGACATAAAAGCAGGCGTAGGTAGTATCTCTCTCCTTCAGCTGGATTAGCATAAACAAGTCGACCAATCATTGATTTATGTTCCCTGATCCTCCAACAATGGTTGCTCCGATTCCATGTAAAATGTTTGGGAAAATCCTTATACAAATATTTTCTCGCATTGGAATCTTCTTTATTCTTCTTGAAAAATGCCGTCAACATTGAATTTTTTCCTTTCTCCCTATCAACAATGTCTTCCATTTTGTCACCGTCTTTGAACCTAACCAACAGTTGATGTGCATAAATCAAAAACAAGGACATAAACGGAAGAAAGATAACAAGGAAGAAGAACCGTGGGCTGTTGATTATAACTTCTTCGCCAAGGTATATGTGAGATAATCAAACTAAAATCACAACAGGAACAATACTTTAGACCATTCATGAACAACAATATATTGAATTGATAATCAAACAAACAAACATGATGCAAACAACAAAATCTAAACCTCATCCTGGATGCAATTTTTAAAAAACAATATTCACATGGTTACACCAAATTCGATCTAGTAAAGTAGAAAATCAAGAATTGTATTTGAGACATAAGAATTTTATCATTTCAAACAGAATAAATTTATCACTTTAGACAGAAGACAGAAGAAGATTCATCAAACAGATAGAAGTAAAGAGAACCTGAATTCGTGTCACGAAATGTAATGCAATGCAATGAAGTAATCTTCTAGTTCCCGATTCCTTGTTGGTGAATTGTGTTGTGAAAGTAAAAAATAAGAACATAATATATTAGATTTATAGACGGAATAATGTATCATATGATGTATTTTCGGATATTACTAACTGTCAAAAGTCATACCAAAAATATTTTAAATCATACCATAAACACTAAATGTCAAAAATCATACCAAAAATATTTTAAATCATACCATAAATACTAACTGTCAAAAGTCATATCAAAAATACTTTAAATCATACCATAAATACTAAGTGTCAAAAATCATACCAAATTTAATCATATTATTATCATATTTTCATTAAAATAAAAATAATTCCTCTAGTTATTTTTAGAAAAGAAACTTATCATTTAATTAAATATCATGAAATTCTAAAAAAAAACTTAAATAAAAAAAGGTTATATTACAATTTTCATTCCAATCAAGGACGGAATGAAAATTGACAAAATGGAAGGAATCAAAATTCAAATGCCTTTTGTGAATGCTCAATTCCATTCCATTCTTCCGATTCCATCATACCAAACAAAACAAAATAATTCTTAATGCAAAAAAATAACTCGATAATAACTGAAATAAAAATAAAGAAATTACCAGGACTTCAAATTTGACCACATTAGGGGAAGTCAACGCACCATCATTTTCAACAATAGTCAACTCATCTCCAAAATAATTATGACTACTTTGCATAGAATCATTCACCATGCCTTTGGCACACCCGGGACCCACCTACATTTCATATTGTAATGACCTATTTTTTTCCAACACACGTTCAACTCTTGCAAAGCTTTCAGAACCACTGTCATTATCTCATGAGGATGTGCTCAAGACTGTAAAAAGAAAAATAAAAAACAATAAGAAAAAAATGTTTAATTTATTTAATTATTTCAAGAAACTTAACCTGAAGTCCAAGAGCCCATTTTCTTTCGGCTTGGTTTCTGATATTCATTCCTTGATAATCCATGTAAGCAGATGGGCGTTGTTCCATAATTGGAGAAGTAGGCGCTTCGTTTGAAGTCATGCGGTTGAATCCATCCTGTATTTTTTTTTTTCAGCCAAGGGAAAATCGGTAAATTGACAAACTTTGGATATATCATATCATATATGTCACACTCCCGAACCTGGACGGCGGAAACCTCCGGGGGCGGATGACTTCGTGTACAGTATCATAACAATTGAATATGAATGAAATATAGCAACCAAACATCATACATTGGAAATACACACTTACATAGTTTACATATTGAATCTTGTTCATCAGTTACACAAAAGTAAGAAAGTAAAATTTCTTGAAGTCGCACCACTTGATCTTATAGTCGAACTTATTACCTGCTACTGGAATTCCTGAGAATACAAGTCGTTTTGAAAAGCGTTAACTAAAAAGTTGGTGAGTTCATAAACAGTTTTGTATAAAAATGGTTTTTGTACTTGTTTAGAATCGTTTTCATAGTGCTTTCAGATATCCGATATTTTCTAAAAAGAAATGGTTTGAAATATTTGTGTTTGATCTTATATTAATGCATGTGTGTTAATGTTTACGAGAATAGAAAGAGAATGATTTCCAGACAACCCGATGTTGTCTGCGATAGCTGATGCTGGAATCTCAACCCCGGTGGTTGAGTACCGGTGCTTATAGATTGTCGTTTTATCAAAAAGAAGGTTTTCCGTTTTATCCCAAAAAGAAAATAGAATGGTTTCATGTTTTATTCCAAAAAGAAAATAGAATGGTTTCCTGTTTTATCCCAAAAAAAAAAATAGAATGGTTTCCTGTTTTATCCTAAAAAGAAAATAGAATGGTTTCCCGTAAATCTTATAACGTTAATTCCTCTAAGTGAGTCGCTATAACCATACATAATAATGACAATTTCGCCTGTCTTTGCGTCTTTGGGACGCCGCCGGAATAGAATAAGGTTTTTGTCACCCTAGACTGGCCTAGTCTAACTTTAGCGAACAGCTCAGGTGTGGGGTGTCACCCCCGTATAGAACTATACACAAACTCCCGCTTTCCCTTCAGGAAACTCTGGTTATAACTACAGGCTACGATTGTACACTCAAATGTGCCAACCGACAGGTCTCACTAGATCCTTAATCGAAAATTTACACGGAAAAGAAAGAAGAACACATATAAAACTCATTCTCAGGCCCAATAAACATATAAGTGGACCACTAAGGCCCACTAAACTTATCTATTATTTCCAGGCACAAAAAGAATGTGAATGTCTACCCTGAGCCCAATATACATGTAAAAAGACACTAAGGCCCAGTAAACATATATACCATTTCCAGGCCCAGTAAGGATAATAAAATCGTTTTTAACCCGTTTGTTATTGTTTTGTTTATTTTAGCTCGCTTATTTACAAAATTGATATAAAAAGCCCATTTTTTGTAAAAATGACGTTCTTGGCCCAATAAGCCATAAAGTTTTCAATTAAGGCCCAATTATAGTAAAAATAACACTTTAGCCCCCATTTTGTTCAAAACTTGTGTTTTTGACTAGTTTTTGGTAAAAATAACATTTTAAACTCATTTTTGTCAAAAATATCATTTTTGGCTTGATTTTTGTGAAATACACATTTTTCTGGTTTTTGGCTTTTCTGACCTAGTTGTTGGAAAATTTGTAGAAAAATCATCGTAAGTCGAAATTTGGATCCGTAAATTCTGGAAGTTTGGAAATTTTGTCTACGTTGTTCACAATGTTTCTCATAATTTTTATTGGCCTATAACTAGTGTGAAATTGCTCACCTTCACAGGTTGGTCCGAAATTATTTCAAATCTGATAGGCAGTTTTGTAAAATTCGCCAAAAATAGTAGAAAAATCGTATGAAAACGTGAGAGTAGTCATTTTAAAGGTAATAACCTGAACTTTTTGCATGTAAAACAGTTTTGAAAAATATTACCATTAAGGAGGTCAAAACAGTTCGATATTGGACTAAAACTTTTCTGTCAAGGGCTGATTTTTGAGTTTAAGTTATCTAAGTTTGTTCACAACACTTGTTTTTGCTATTTTAAGTGGATAAATCCCAGATCTACAAGTTTACAAGTATTATATGTGAGGACACATACTTTTCTCAAGGTTTATATGAAGATCCAAGTGATAAACTTCATTTTCAAGTAAAGATCTAAAAGTTAAACACATAAACATGCATATATACATAGATCTAACACAAAAGCACTTGTATTCTCCCCCAAAAACATTATAAAACCGAAAACAAGGGGGTATGAACTCACCTTGGGGGTTTTTGAGATGTAGATGAAGAAGAAGATGAATCTTTGAACCTAGCTTGTGCCTTGAAGAGATCTCGAAGTTATGTGTGTTCTAAGGAGTCTTGAATCGATTTTTGATGATGATAAACTCAAAAATTCTTGAGAGAAACAATGGGTAAGCTTCTTTAGAAAACAAGTGAGGAGATGAGAGTGTTTTGTGTGTGTTTGTGGTGTCTTGGTCGTGAATAAGGGAGATGAGGGGAGAAAGAGGTTGTTTGACTTTATGTTAGGTGATGGGATATGTGTGGGTGTATGGAGGTCAAAAGCATAGATGTATGCTAGATAAAAATGAGGTGGCATGTGAATTATCCATTTATTTTTCCTTTTTTTTTTATAATGGGCTAACCTAGTTTGGAGAGGCATTTGGCCCAAGGTTGGCCCAAAAGATCAAACCCAATTTTTGGTTGGCCCACTAGGGACTTTCGGCCACAATTGCTCTAGGATGAGTATTGGCCCAAGTAAGGGGATTTCGGCCCAAAAACTAAGTGAAGAAGTTGTCGGCCCATTAGGGCCCAATAAAGAAGTCTTGGTCCAATAAGTGATTTGGTCTGACAACTCTTAGGCTAAGGCCCAAAGTTGAGTGGAATTAGCTTACTCGATCGAGTTCTGGGTTTATACAAAGTGGTTTCGATTTGAATTCCGATTCTTGAATGTGTAACTTATATAGTGTTGAAGGTTGATTTAAGTCAAATGTAGGGTTACAAGGTTACACTAAGAATTTATCCGGTATAAGGATGGAAAAAAATTATAACCCTAATTTTGCCAGTTGTGACAATATATGTAAGATTTATACGTGTATAGACCATAGATATATGAGTAAACAATTTTTTTTTCCCATTTTATAGAATACATGACAAACTTTTTAAGGATGGTTTTCATGATTAAAGAACACCAAGAAGTTAGGTGCTTACCTGTAAAACTTCTTGTTGCAAGATATTTTTAATAAACTAATTTCATCTACAATTTTAATAAAAAAAATCAAAAAGAGAAATAAAAAACAACAAGAAAAAAAATGTTTAATTTATTTAATTATTTCAAGAAACTTAACCTGAAGTCCAAGAGCCCATTTTCTTTCGGCTTGGTTTCTGATATTCATTCCTTGATAATCCATGTAAGCTAGATAAGCGTTGTTCCATAATTGGAGAAGTAGGAGCTTCGTTTGAAGTCATGCGGTTGAATCCATCCTGTATTTTTTTTTCAGCTAAGGGCAAATCGGTAAATTGACAAACTTTGGATATATCATATCATATATGTAATATTTATACGTGTATAGACCATAGATATATGAGTTGCAGTGAGTGAGTGATGACTCAATATCAAATGTTAGGTTAGAGGAAATAGTTGCAGCAAGGATTTTACAATTTAGATGATTTCACTCTATAATTCCATCACAAAAGAGCTGTTTGCCAGGCTTGTTCACTAACTTGTTCAAGCCATTGTCAATCGATAGTTTGTATCAAGTAAAAGCAAATTACAATGGTTATATATGTCATAATCAAGAACACTTTGAAATATAAAAGAAAGTCTAACCTCTCCATTAGCCTTCCATGGTTTCTTTGACTGAAAATAATCAAAGAAAGCAGGAAAAAATACATGTAAGAACAAATATTAGGTAAAGTTGGAAACCTTACCACAATCAACCCCTGAAAATCATTATTTGTTACTACAACTTGTTAAGTAAAAAAAAAAAACAGTTTGAATTCAAGAATTATGAGGGTAGTGATGCACAAAATCCTCATTACAAGAATCTTCGATCACCCCATCTTAACTAACGAAAAAATCCAACTAATCTTCTCTCTCACTTTCTATCTGTCTCTCGAAATACTCATGTAAACAAGAAATTTTGTGTTTTAGGTCAAAAAAGAAATGGTATACAGTTTCTCCATTAATGTTTGTAAATATGCTTCATGATTGAGTATTTTGGGAAAACTGTAGGAAGATACTTCAAGAATAAATAAGAGTGGTTAATTAACATCAACAAACACTCGATAAATTTAAATTTTGGCAAAAAACAGGGTTGATTTCATTGGGGTAAACAATAGCTTTGGGGATGTGGGGTAAGAAAAATTGTCATACTCTCCACAAAATCACATAAGATTGCAGAAGCAATTTGGACCAATTTTAAGTTTGCAGGTTTTAATACCTTCTAAAACTCAGATCTGACCATCATCCGAACCAATAGATTTAATACATGAAAAATTGATTTGGGTATAACAGTTTTCTACAAACATTTGCCTATTTGTAATACCTATGTGATCGATTTTTGCATACCTGAATGGTTCGTAGTCGCTGTCGACAGAGATTCCAACGGAGTTACAGATTTGAGCGGAGATTTCGACGGAGTCGCTGCCGACGACATAGGCGGAAGCTTGGCAGGTGACGTGGATCAGGTATTTGCGCAGAGGAGGTAGTGGTGGACGCTCGCCACCGTATGCTCGGTCGATTAGGGTTTTTTGATGCACACCCAAATCCATACACAAATTCGATCCGGTTTGAGCAATGAAGAACTTGTTGAGGTGATTGAAATGGCTTGAAATGTCTTCTGGTTGATGGGTTGTAGATGATTATGTCACGTGTGCCATCGATTAAACATACTAATCCATTGCAAGAACCCAGAATCTTGATTGAAGTTTTAGGGTCCGTCTCAGGTGGCTTTGATTTGGTGAGTAGTGTTGTGTGTAGGAAGGAGACGGAAAGAATAGGGTTTCTATTTTGTGATGGCGGCTGTTGTGTCTAGAGAGAAGATTAGGGTACCATCTAATACCTAATACCGTGTATAGCTATACTATGTGATTATAAGCTTAATATTATTGTACATGAGGTAATAGGTATTGTACCTCTTAATTTTCAAGAAATGGGCAATATCCTTAATAATATAGTAAAGATAAAGATTTTAAATTAATAAATTAATATTGTTAAGTTTAGGTTTTGAATGTATATGGTGATAAGAAAAAATGCATAGTATGAATAAATATAGATGTAAATAAATAAAGTTTTAGGGGTGATCTGGCTACGGACAAGAGTATAAGGGCTTAAATTGCGATATGCAAATTCAAGAAATAAAGTTCAAGCATCAAATTTGGGAGGAATTTACAGAGATTATGCGAAGAAGCTATCGGCAGCTCCGGCGACCACCTTTGCAGCTCCGGTTAAAACCTTCTATCTTGACTTTCCACCCTTCAGTTATGCTTCCGGCGAAGACTCTCTATTTCCGGTGAACAGGTCCTCCACAGTAGAGATTTGTCATGTGTACTAGGGTTTCCATGTAAGTATATAATTCAATATCTGCACATTACTCCTTATCAATCCAAATGAAAGCAATTGCTTATCTTGTGTATTAAAATGTGATTATTTTGAGCAGTAAGAAGCTATTTGCTCCGTCGTTTCGGAAGTCATCTGCAACTGAATTCGTACGATTCTACCCCTTCTGAGTATAATATGAAGAAATGCAATTTTTGCCATTAGTTTTGAAGTTTCTTTTTTCACAGTTTTCTTCTGAAATTTTAAGAAGACATCAAAATTTGAAGTAAACAGGTCTATTTGACCTCAAAAGTCAAAGCTCTTTTCAACTTCCAAATTAATTTGAATTTGAATTTTTTTAGGGAAAATTTGTAGAATGCCATGAACTTTATTGACTTATGAGCACTGTTGATAATTGATATGTAGGGAAGAAAAGAAATACTGAAGGAATGGAGACTTGGTATTACAGTCATCAAAGAAATGAAAGAAGAAGGTTAGAGTGATCATCTTTATCTTTTAGAGAATTATTATGAATTTATTTGATCTCAAAATTACAGACCTTTTTTTTGGTCATAGTTTTTCATTTCTAGATCTAAATGCAAGAAATAGCAATGTACTTTCATTTATTTGTGTATTATAGCATCCCACTCTTCTTTCTTTCCATCACGACATTGTACTTTAACTTTTATTCTTATTAGGGCATTGCACTCTGACAAATCTACCCAATTATAGCATTGTACTTTCAAACTTTTTTTCTTATTAGAATATTATACTTTACAAAATCTATCCAATTATAGCATTCAAAATTGCTTTGTATTTGAATTATATTGCTATTATTGGATAGTTTTTCAAAAGTCAATACTGTAATAGGGAGAAATGAAAATAGGTTTCCACAATAAACAAATCAATGAAACTGTGTTGCTATTTCTTGCATTTAACTCTTAATTCCATCACTAAACTACTATGTAATGACTTTTAATGATAATTCTATTACTAAATTAAACCATTGTGGTTTAGGCTATCCAGTGAATCCGACATCAGTGCAGAAGCAAATCATGAATGCACTTCACTTGGGCGAAAGAGAAAGGGCTTCCAGTCTTCTGTCTCATATTGGCTACAACAATCATCTGTTGAAGCCTAACAATTTTCTTAAAATTCTTGAATATTGTGCATCCATACCTGATCCACCGGTAGGCTTCAGAATGAATTTACTAAAGATTATATTTTAGTTAGGAAATTGTGAAGTAACTAGAACAGCCTATTATAAATCTGCAAATAGTTGACTAGGTTACATGCAAATTTATGCAACAACGTGATTTTAATGCTGAATATACGTTCATGTTTCATTCTAGGACCAAAATATGCAAACATTGTTTCACCTTTTCTTTTTCTTTTTTTTTTTTTTTTTTTTTTAAATTTCTGCAACTGACACGAATTATGCATTTTTGTTTCAGCTGGTTTAACAGATCATTGGTAAAATATTGCATCTTTTGGTCATAAAATTAAATGGTGTTGCATATTTTGTATGAACCTGTAATTGAGTTCCTGTGTCATTAAGGTGTTGCATGAATTTATTATTCTGTGTAGTTTGTCTTAGAGATTTGGAGAACAATGGAGGAAAAAGGAGTTGACATCAACAATGAATGCCACATTCTTATGATCCAAGCCCTCTGCAAAGGAGGTTACATAGAGGAGGTATAAACCTTTTATACACAGTTGTTCATATATCATTAACCTTATTATTCTTGCTGATGTCATTGTACTTACTTTAATGACTTGTGCTCATGAAAAAGACAGTTGTTACTAGTTGCTTAGAGTGTTTATGGTATTAATCTGTTCTTTTTGGATTATTTTATATAGGCATTCAACTTGATGAGTAATTTTGAGGAAAGTCCAGATCTTTATCCTTCTCTTAACAAATATAACACCATTCTGGAAGCTTCTGCTAAACTAAAGAGTGCAACTCATGCCAGTAAATGTTTGGATCTAATGGATCATGACATGGTAGGAAAGAATGAAACAACATATACTGAGCTTCTCAAGGTATGTAAATCCCTTAATCATCATCATGTCAAAAGATGATTAAATACTAAAGGGCTAAGTACTTTCATTCTTCTTGTGATATCATTGCACCTTTTCATTATTAATTATCAGGCGAATATTAAATTCAGAATCTAATTTGGCTACGTTGAATGCTAATTTCTCTATTTGTTGTCTTCAAGTTTCTATTCTAAAAAATTGGTGTTATATAAGTGAGTGTGAGTCTATTCTAAATTTATTCTTTCAGCTTGCAGTTTTACAGAAAAATTTGCCATATGTCCATAACATTTGGAAGGAGTATGCCAAATATTACAATTTCAACTTTATTTCTCTAAGAGAGTTCATATGGGCCTTCACAAGGTTGGGAGACGTGGGGTCCGCATGTGAAGCTTTACGGCATCTAGTGGATTTAGTATTCAGGGGAGGATTTACTATCAAGGAAAATGCTGAGGGTAAATTGGTCATTTCAAGATTAGATGTACCGATGCCTTTCTACAGTAATCTAGAATGGGACAGATGTCAGACTGTTAATAATATAACTTCAGTTCCTTCCATATATGAAAATAATAATAAAGACCATATAAAGATTGGTGGGTTTGACTTGAAAGAAGTCAAACATGTTGGAAGAAATTCAAATATTGGTCTTGTTATGAGGATCTTGAGGTTGTCTTTTGCTGATGTTATACAAGCTTGTGCACGGGAGAAAAACCATGAGCTGGCAGAGCAGTTATTTGTTCAGGTACTAATATCATTTTGTATGTTCTTTAGTTATAAAATTACATATTATTAGATTTTAGATTTTATTTTCTCTTTTGGAAAATTACAGAAAAGTACTTGTACTTTCAACATTTTATCGATTTAGCACTTCACTCTTTTTAGTATTGAAATAACCATTATACTTTTTTTGACCACTTAAAAAAAACACCATTTTCCTGTTACCTGGTTTTGATATAGTTTATCGATTTCATCACTAAACTATTATTATAATAATCATAGAAAATAAGTTAAGTGGCTAAATCAATAATATGGTGAAAATACATTGTGCTTTTAAAGTTGACAACTTGTCATTTTTTGATTTTATTTTGTTGTATGTGTTTTAGATGCAAAATCTTGGCATTAAACCATCATGTGGTGCATACGATGGCCTTATTAGAGTGCTTCTTCAGGAGAAAGGTTTCCATGATGGCATGAAAGTGGTATTAAGTACTTCCATTCTTATTATAGTATACCCCTCACATTTTCCCAAATTACCCCTTCCTTGATAAACATGTTGCTTGTGTTTGTTTTTGTGTATTTTGTGCATCAGGTAAAGTTGATGCAAGAAAGGAATATGAAGCCACTTGATTCAACTCTTGCATCATTATCAGCAAGATGCAGTAAAGACTTGGAGTTGAATTTGGCTGAGTCATTCTTGAGTGAGATGGGAAAATGTACAACTGCTTATCCTTATAATCAGCTGCTTGGAGCATGTGACACACTGGTTAGTATTAGTAACCATATATCACACAATTTACATTAATTATTCATTATAGTATCATTAATTATCTTGAGAAATTTATGTTTAATCATGCAGGATGAACCTGAACGTGGGATTCAGGTTTTTGGTAAAATGAAGAAGCTGAAAGTGGCTCCTAATATTACAACATATGAGTTGCTATTTTCATTGTTTGGAAATGTGAATGCTCCTTATGAAGATGGAAATAAAGAGTCACGAGCAGAAGCTGCTAAAAGAATAAATGCTATAGAGAATGATATGATCAGAAATGGCATTCAACATAGTTATGTATCCCTAAGGAACTTGGTAAGTCAGTCAGTGACTGGCCTTTTTCTTTTATTTAAGTTTTAGGGATAGGTAGGTCATTTTACATTTATATCAACTGATTGGGTTGGGTTGACTTGCAATACTTTTTTGTAAAAGTAAAAACAACAATCCACTTGTTTAGTTAAAGAAAATAAGATGGTTATAAATACTTAAAAATATAGTTTTGTTTGATGTACAAATTACAGCTGAAAGCACTTGGATCAGAAGGGATGATAAGTGAGATTGAACATTACTTGCATGTGGCAGAAAACCAATTAACTACTCCAGGAGCTCCAATTTACAACATAGTCTTGCATTCACTTGTTGAGGCTAAAGAGGTAAATTCTATTTTCAAATTTTATCCGATTATACAAACCATTTTTCACTTGTCTTTCCCATTGAGTAGATTTTCAAAAGTATAAAATGTCTTAATAAAATAAAATTGAAAGTACAAGTCCATAATTAGGTAGATATATCAAAGGACAAAGTAATCTCAGTTTTGACCATCTTTGACTTGGTGATTTTTGACCTTAATCTCAACCTCATCTTTGGCTTTCCGAAAATGACCAAATTGCCCCTGCAGTGCTAGTCCAACATGCAAATTCACATAAAAAATGACCAAATTACCCTCGGCGCTAATCCATCCTGCAAATTTACATCAGAAACACAGAAAAGTCTCTTATGCAAACAAATAGAAGTAAAAGATTCATGATTTTTACTACAAATATTACAAATTAAAAACAAAATAATATAAAGAAAGCAGCATACAATAAAATAAGGTTGATGAAAGTAGGTTGCTATATATCTTGTATGTTGTATAAGTAATAACATGTTATGTTGCAATGTGAATACAGGGTCAGAAGGCAATAAATGAATTCAAAACATTGATGTCACATGGGTATCATCCAAATGATGTGACTTATAATATCATGATTGACTGCTGCACTATTACGGGCTCTTTAAAATCTGCTCAGGCTTTTATTGCCATGATGTATCATCATGGCTATCCACCACAAACACAAACTTATACATCTCTTATAAAGGTACTTTAACATTATTTATACAAAATTACTGATTCATTAATCATTATCATCACTTGGTGTGTTGACTTTAATGATCAAAATCTGTTTCAGCTTGTGTTGGAATTGGGTGATTTTGATGAAGCATTGGTTCTTCTTAATCAAGCCTGTTCAGAAGGAATTGAACTTGATGCTCTGTTGTTCAACACCATTCTCAGAGTAGCAAATTGGAAGGTGTTATCCTAATCATATACTTACTTTAAACACTAAAAATGAAATGATGTTTATTGAATATTTGAGAAAAAATCAATGTTGTGCATAATTTGTAAAAATTTAACTTAATGTGGTAAATCTTTTGTCATTTGAGAAATCTACCAAGTAGCTATAATTGGGTAGATCTTTCAAAGCTTAATGTCCAGATAAGAAAGGAGTAAATTGCAAAATCGGTCCCTGTGGTATCCCAAAAGGTGCAGTTTGAGTCCATTTTTTTTTTTCATTTGCATGGTCAGTCAAAAACTGAAACTTCCATGCAGATTTGGTCCCTGTGGTATCCTAAAAAGTGCAGTTTGAGCCCTTTTTTTAGACGGCAGTTAACTCGAGGGACAATCTGCATGGAAGTTTTAAAATTTTGACTGACCATGCGAATTAAAAAAAATGTAGTCAAACTGCACTTTTTGGGATACCACAGGGACCAATTTTGCAATTTACACATAAAAAATGAAGGGTTAATTTCATAAAAACCTTATATTTTGTGTTTTTTCCCGGATTAAACCTCAACTTCATTTTTTTCTTGCAAAAGACCTTGCATTTTTTCATTTTTTTTGATCCGGCCCTTTTAGTCATTTTTTTCCGAAAAAACTTGTCCAATGTGAGGGTTTTTTAGGAAAAAAACTAAAAAGGTTGAGGGTTTTTTCGGAAACAATTTGAAGGATGAGGGTTTTTTTGGAAAAAGACAAAGTTGAGGGTTTTTCGGGGGGAAAAAAAAGACAAGGTTGAGGATTTTTCGGAAAAAATGAAAAAATACAAGGTCTTTTTCAGAAAAAAATAAAAATAAAGTTAGAGGTCTAATCCGGAAAAAACACAAAATATAAGGTCTTGTATGAGATTAACCCAAAAAATGAAAGTGCCCTTCGATAATTGGGTAGATTTTTCAAATTACAATGCGTTGGGCGTTGATAGTAAAAAAAAGAACAATATTGTAATTTGTAATAGAAATAAATGAAAGTAGGATGCTATACCACAAACAAAATCATGATCATTATTTTTGTCATTTCTACTAATCCATTGAGAAAAAAAATAAAAATAAAACTTATAAATCCTTATTTGTAAAAACTTATTTTACAGGATAGAATAGACATAGTCGAGTATGTAATGGATCGTATGCACCAAGAGCGGGTCCCACCGGACCCCGACACCTGTGCTCATGTCTTCTCAGCATATGTAAACCGTGATTGCTTCACTACAGCTATGGAAGCATTGCAAGTTATGAGCATAAACATGTTGCCCCAACAAGATATCCACAAATACAAAACAATTTTTGAACAAAGATTTCATTTATGCAGAAGATTCAGAAGCCGATTTAAGAGCTTTAAACCTCTTCAAAGATTCCAATGAAATTCATGCGGTTGCCCTTTTCAACCTCAGATGGTGTGCCATGGCTGGGAACCAGATCTCCTGGTTGACCGGTCAAAGCCACTGGGTCCAGCAGCTCGCGGCTACAAACCGATCTTCTACATGAAGGGGCGGACAATAAGGTAATTTTGCCATCCGACTCGTAATTCTCCAAGAAACATCAGATAATGGAATTTACTACCTGATTGAGGGTTAACATTGGTTTTAGGTAGTAAAAAAGTAGAATTCACTTCTTTAATGTTTCGGAAGTCACCCACATGGTTTGGGTATTTTATGTTTACAAAGTGTGTTAAGGGGCAATAATGTAATTTTACCACCTAACTTGGGGAGATTTTGGTTTTAGTTATAGCGAAGTAGTGAAATTTTGAGGTTTTGTTTACAAAAGCATCCTTGGCCATGATGTTGGTGATGCTTAATTGTGTTTTGTTGATGAACCAATTTTTTTGTAGTTAATACCAAGATATACTTTTATTTTTATTTTGTTTATTATATCATCTTATTTTCATCTCTTTTTATTATAGTATTGCATTTTTTTTTGTTTTGTTATTAGTAAGGTATTGTCCTTCAAGAGATTTGCTTAATTATGGCATGACACTTCTAGTATTTTTCCTGTTAGAACATTATACGTTGGTAAATCTATCAGATTAAAACAATAAAAATTGTTTTGTATTTGGATTTTGGATGATATTTGCTATAAAAGGTAAATTTTTCAATACACCATAATGTAATAAAAAATGATATTACAATGCTATATTAAACAAGTCAATGGAAGTGTTTTTCTGAACGGCAAAAAATAACTAAAACTATCAAGAAGCTAACAAAAAAGAAATTACAAAGTCAAAGAAGCTATAGCTGGATTTTTCAGCCACCCAATCAAGTTGAAATTACATACTTTAGATCTATTTTTAATCCAAAAATACGAAAAAGAAACTATTTTGTCGAAAATCGCTGTATTTTTAGCAGACGGCGTCAATGGCTTGCGGGGGAGGACGGTGGTGGTTTGGAGGCGACATTGGTAGATTGGAGGCGATGACAATGGTGGTTTGAGGGGGGAAAATGACTGCAACTATGCCATCCCGCTATCTCTTCATCTCTTTTGATATCACATCAGCACATACACACACATGTGTGTGTATGTCCATCTTGAAGGTTAGGAAATGAAGGGGTGGGCCGATGGGGAAAATGAAGGTGGAGGTTGGTGTAGTGGATTTTTTTATAATTGGGAGTAATAATAAAAAATAAAATTAATTGAAACATAAAAATACAAGGGTATTATGGTCATTTTAATTCTGGCATGGACTAAGTATGCAAAAAAATAGTCTTCCAAATTCCAATGATGAAATGTGCAAGTTTAAATAAAACGAAGGACGGTCCGAGATAATTATGAAAATAGGATCCAAGATAATTTTATGAAAATAGGAAGTGAATGTGCTTTTTGGCACCTGCATAAGAGAGATTTGTGCAATTTACTATTGATTTATTAAATTTGAGTTCCTAAAAAGAATACCATAATCAATCAGATAACGAAAAAGACGTTACATTTGTTTATAGATATTATATTAAATACTTTTACTGTAAAAACAATCAAATTTTTATTCACGATGAAAAAAATAAATATAAAAGATAGTTAACACTCTAGTAATGTTGTTATCACAAGGTCTTGAACATCATTGAAAGTATGACAAACATATTTATTGTTAAAAGTATAAAAAAGGAAGAAAAAATATACATAACATTCTTAGAATGGGAGTGTACTCCCCTCATGCCCTCACTTTTACTTTGCCATGTCATACCTCACCTCCCCTACCCACACACACACACTCCTTTAACCTAGGAACATAGTGTCCATCATTAAATTTTCTCCCTCGGCCATCTCTGTCAGTCCCTGCCAATCTACATCGATTCTTTGTTATCGGTATTTGGTTTGACAATGTTGCCCATCTCTAAGCTCGGTCTGTTTCCTATCGGGATTGAGAATACTTGGATTACTGAGAGTTGTGAGAACACTTTCAAATCAAAGTATTTCGATGGTAGTCTCGAAATCTTCAATTGGATAAAACTCAGTATAAGAGAAAGAATTGAGAATGGTGATTGTTATTATTCGTGTTGTACAAAATCAATTCGAAAATGGCCAATAATAAGGAAATAATCTCTTGTCCAATAACTACCAAATATAGTTACAGAATAACTTCCTATCTCAAAACTGACATAAAACTGTCATTAACAACCTTAAAACCGTGTGTAGAATCAAGATCATAAAAGTGGGTTCATTTTCTTAGAATCAGCTCTACCCAGCCAGGGGCTCTGTCCATTGGACCTCGTCGGGGGTTGCCACCCCTTGGACCCCGCTTAGAGGGGCGCTGCCCCCGGACCACCGTCAGTTCAGGGGAAAAATAACAGTATACTTTCAACCAAGACAAACTTAAACAAATATGCACTCTGCACCACCTTAACTTGTTTAATATTTATAAAGACAACATTAATCAACAATTAATCTCATTACACTTAAATAATATCAATCAAAGCGCTTGCTTCTCCAATCATTACACTTGTCTTTTAAGTCGAATGTCTGACTTTGTTTTCTTTATGGTTGTAATCTCTTAATCTATGTGTGAAGATATAAAGTAATTGTAACTTACAAGACAAACTCTATTAGTAGCCTAGGAATTATTGAATTAGTATCACATAAAACGTATTACTCTTCAACCTTTTTTTAAAAAAATTTAGCACACTTCATAAAAAAAACAAACAAATAAACTATTAATTTTTTTATTCTTTTGGTTTCGTATTTTATTTCATGAAACATTTGTTTGCTTTATAATATATTTATAGTTTGAATCAAATAATTTATAATAAGAGTTTTGCTTTCTTATTTGATTATTAATTTAATATATTTTGAGGTGTAAGATAAATGCTTAATTTATTATTGATTATTTAGTACCATGTATTGAGACAGGGAAATTTAAATATAATTATACATTTTTTTCCTATCTATCCTCCTATCACTTTTAGATGATGACAAATGTAATAAAAATTTATTAATTTCATTAAATATGACAAGTGTCACAATCTTAAGTATGTAGAAAGATGGTAAAAAAGAATAGAATGATATGTAGAAAGATGGTAAAAAGAAAAAGTATGAGGATATTTAATTTCTGACATACATGTGTAAAATAGTAGCAATGATGTATTTATAAGACAGTACTAGTATTTATAATATTTGTTTGATATTCGATATTAAAGATACTACTATATTTTCATATTATTAACAACCCGGTTTGACAAAAACTGATATCAACCCCTTTAAGTTGTTACTGTTAGATTAAGGTTTCTAGACTCATAATTAATTTGGTATATTCTTGTAATTAGAAGCAAAATCTTTTTTGGGTTGCCCTCATAACTAGAACTTAATTAGAATGACATTTGTAGAGAGATGATGATTTATTATATTATTATATGATTAATAAACTAATTAGAAATTATGAGGACATGATTTGTTAATATATTATATGATTAATATATTAATTTGGAAATAGATAGTTGATTTGTTAATTTATTATGTGATTAATAAATTAATATGAGATCAACTGTTAAAATAATTGATTTTTTAATTTATATGACTGATAAGTTAATATGACATCAATTAGAATTGATTAATTACTAATCAAAATTAATTTGGGATTAACTGAAATTAATTAAAAGTGCAAGGGGTGAATTGTAATTATTCAATAGTTGAACAAAAGAGACAATTCAAGAACCATCCAAGGGTAGACGGTTTGGGAGTTCTTTTAAGGTTTCTAGAAGCCTCCTAGATGCTAATAAGGAAATGATTTGGATTGGAATTAAATCCATTATTTAATTATTCAAATCTTATTTTGTCCCTTAGTTACCTAAACTATAAATATAGGACTCATTAGACATCAAATTTGATGGATACTCTTACCAAAGAGCATATGAACGAAATTTATACCTCTCTCCCTCTCTCCTCAACTGTCTTATAGTTCTAGGGTTTGGATGTGATCCATTAGAGACATCATCCTTTTGGTGCAAACTTTCCAAGCTCTTCAAAGGAAGGAGTTAAGCAACTTGTTTGGTATAACAAGTTTGAGGTATGTAACCTTGATTTCTTAAATTCGAAATTGCTAGGGTTTATGTTAGTTTTGTTATTCAAAGTATGTTGTCTTTAAAGTGAAAAACATAAATCCTTTTAGGTTGTATGTGCCTTTTTATTAATTGTTAAGTGTTTTTTCGCATTAAATATTTTGTTATAACCTAATAAACCCATCGGTTACTCGTTTGAATTGGACATCTGTGATTTTTAATCATAGATTCATCACTGCCTAGGAAATGATAACCTCTTATTTCCCCTAGTTTTTTTATAAAAAAATAGTTATAATACTACAATTTAAGAAATATATAAAATTAATAAAATTTATCTTAATAAATATGAAATTAATAAAAAACGTCGTGAATTAATTCACTTTGACCCTTTTTACCAGGTCAACAGGTCACCCACTTTCAAATTTTACATTTTTGACCCATATTTTAATTTTTGTTACAAATTTATTCCAAAATTTACATTTTTGGCCAAGATTCCAAATTTTCTTACAAATTTATCCTAAACTTAGTATTTTTACGTATTGTTTTTTTCAAAATTTACTTTCGAATATGTTTTTCTTTCTTTATAAAATCAAATTTATACAAAAAAAATATTTTCACATAAAAAACCTTCTTTTTCTTCTATATAAAAACATTTTCTAAAAAAGCTTTTTTTGTTAAAAAAAGGTTTTTATATGTGAAAAATATGTTCAAATATTAAAAAAAAAACTATAAGAAAAAAACAGTGGTCATATAGTTTTATTAACATCATCATATTTGTTATTATTTTTGCTAAAACTTATAAAAATCATAACCTCTTCATACAAACTCTATTTTCAACATTCTTTATATCCACGCGTTCGTCTTGACGACTACTACAACTTTCATGTTGACCATTTTAGCCAAAAAAAATAAAAAACAATATATTTTCACTTTTGTTTTTATAAACAAAGGTTTATATTTATTAACTTTTATAAGTGAAAATGGGTATTACAATTTGTTGGTTTATATTAAAATAAAAAACGTTGAAGTGGTTATGCTTACTATATTTTGCTTAAAAACTAAAAAGCATATTTTCTATAAAAAAACCAAGATATTTACTAAAACAAAAAATATATTTTCACATAAAAAACCAAGATATTTATAAAAATAACTTTTGACATGTATTCATTTTCGAATTATATAGGTGCACAATCAAAAATAATTTTGTCATCTTATGTGAAAATTTGTGAAAATAAATTTTTTCATCCTATGTAAAATATTTTTTTTTATCCATGGTTGAACAATAAAAAAATGTTGAACGTGGTTATGTTTATTTAGATTTTGCTTAAAAACTAAAAAATATATTAAGATATTTACTAAAATAAATAACATATTTTCATATAAAAAACCAAGATATTTACAAAAAAAATGACATGTTATTCGTTTTCGAATTATATAAGTGCACAAACAAAAATATGTTTTTTATGTGAAAAAATGTTTTTTTTTAAATGTTTTTTTAAGTGAAAAAATGTTTTTTTTGTATTAAAACATATTTTCACATAAAAAACTTTCTATGCGAAAAACCTTTCACATATAAATTTTTCACATATAAATTTTTTTTAACAAAAATGTTTTGTAATAAAAGGTTTTTATACAGAAAAAAGAAGGGCTTTATGTGAAAATATGTTTGTGTTGTATAATTATGATTTTATAAAGCAAAAATAACATATTTGAAACAAAATTTTGGAAAAAAAATATGCAAAAAAACTAAATTTATGATGAACTTGTAACAAATTTTTGAAATTTGGACCAATAGTGTAAATTTTGGATTAAGTTTATAATAAAATTTAAAATTTAGGACATATAATTTTTGAAAGTGGGAGACAACCGGAAAAAAATGATGAAAATGAATATAATTTCCGGTATTCGGGACTAAATTTTATATATATATATATATATATATATATATATATATATATATATATATATATATATATTAAAATGTAGGAACTTTATATAGATTTTCCTTTATCAAGATAGATAATGTTTTCCTAATAATTCAGCATTAAGACATACATTTTTGCTTGTTTTGGAAATAACGAAGCTTGTACAAAGTATGTCGACCAACGCTCTGCATGGGTGATAATAATTAAGACACGTTATGGCCAGAGAAAAGAATCAAATGGCATGAGAGGCTCACGTGAGAGAAGGCTTCATGATTCATGAAGATTATGTGCATTATTAGTTGGTACATCTTGCCTTATTGAAAATACTTTCATGAAAGTAATATGTGGATGGAAACAATGTCGTGTGCATGACCATTTTGCCCCCCAAAAAAGAAACTATTCACCCCCTCCCCTACACCATAAACGTACCGACATGTTGAGCTTTAGGTGATTTTTGTCAAATTGTTGACCCCATCTTGGTGTTGCACTGCAATTGCTTAGTTCACGAGGCCCCAAAACACATCACGTTGACTTATATTTAAATACAGACCTTTGAGGTATATGCATATGATCCCTTGATTCTTGTCAATCTTTCGTAATTTCCTTCAACAGATATATATATATATTTTATTTAATAGGATCTGTCAAGCACACCTTCAATGGCATGTTCAACATCATCCACTCATAAAAGCCATAAGTATGATGTATTCTTGAGCTTTAGAGGTGAAGACACCCGTAAGAATTTCGTTGATCATCTTTATGTTGCTCTTCAACGTCAAGGAATTCATACTTTCAAGGATGATGAGAGACTCGAGAAAGGAAAAAAGATCAACGATGAGCTCTTGAAATCCATTGATGAGTCAAAATTCTTCGTCATTATATTCTCTAAGAACTATGCATCTTCGTCATGGTGCTTGGATGAGCTTGTGAAGATTATGGAGTGCCAGAAGGAGACTGAGCAGATTGCTTACCCTGTATTCTACGATGTTGATCCCTCAGAAGTCCGTCAACAACTTGATCCAGTTGGAGAAGCTTTTTCCAGGAATAACAAGGGAGAGGTTGGGAAGTGGAGAGAGGCTCTGAAAGAAGCAGCCAATCTGGCTGGTTGGGATTTGAGGAAAACATCTGATGGGTAAAATTTTCATCATTTTCAGCAATATTTTGTTTGTTCCTTTTCTAATCTAAATATGCAAACTGTTATAAAAAAGTATCATCCATCGCAGCTCATGTTGTATTGTGGAATTCTATATGAAATTTGACTCTTAATATGCATAAGTTTGTATGTTCTAACACTAAACTAACTATACTCATGTGGAAAATTGGTGAAGCTAACCGTATGTTTTATTCTACAGGCATGAAGCTAAAGTCATCAATAAAATTGTTGAAAAGATTTCACTAGAGCTACGTTTCCTTAATTTAAAAGTCGATGAAAAACTAGTAGGCATGGAGAGCCGGATAAAGGATATTGTTTCATCTTTGGAAATTGGTGTTGAAGATGTTCGTATGATAGGTATCAAGGGGATTGGAGGCGGTGGAAAAACGACTTTGGCCAGAGCTTTGCATGCTTACTAAAAGGTTGGCTGAAAGACAACGCAATTACAGCACTTGAAAGTTGTGGATTTCATGCTAGGAATGGCTTAAGAGTTCTACAACAAAAATCTCTTATAACTATTTCTCCTGATCAACGATTAGGCATGCATGACCATATAGAAGAAATGGGTCGGAATATTGTTCGTCGTTCACATCCTGATGAGCCAATAAGGCATAGCCGATTGTGGATTGGAGAGGAGATTAAAGATGTATTGGTTGATGACTTGGTAAGGACGAAAATGTTTACTTACATTAATATGGAAAAAACCAACGAACTTTTATAATTAATTAAGTTGACCCTAATTTATTTATCTCTATTCTTGGATTACAGGTTACAGGAGCAATAAGAGCTATAGCAACAAACACATCGACATGGTTTGACGAAGAGAAACTCTGTTCTACAATTCTTACAAATGGTTTTGGAAACTTGAAGAAACTTAGATTTCTTCACGTGGTTTCTGGGAGCAGTTGTTCGTTTGAAGTTGGCCAAAATTTCCCAAATGCGTTAAGGTTTCTGAGTTGGCACTGTTACCCTCATTACTGTTTACCTAAAACATTCCAACCAAATAATCTCGTAGCACTTGAAATGCCTAACAGTAGAATTAAACAGCTGTGGCACGAGGGAGAAGGAAAGGTAGAATAGTTGATTAATTTCTTCTTTTGCATAATTCATTTCATTGCAATATATAATCTTTTTTTCTTTCTTTCTTATGACAGGTCCTTAAAAACCTTAGATTCCTCGACCTGAGTTATTCAAAATTGACGACCATTGATTGTGGTTTACTTCCAAATCTTGAGACATTAAAACTTGAAAAATGTCGTCATCTGGTAGAACCACACACACCCATTGGATGCCTAAGAAAACTCGTTTTGTTAAACTTAAATGGTTGCGTAGGATTCAAATCTCTTTCATTTATCAAACCACTGGAATCACTTCGGGTCCTTGATCTAAGTAATTTATATCTGACGAAGTTCCCAGATATACTTCCAGAACATTCCAACTATAGTTTATTGGCGATTTACTTTTCAAAGAACAATATCCAAGAGCTACCCTCATCGATTGGAAGCCTTCAGAAGCTTGTTTATCTAGATCTCAGTGGGTGCCACAGGCTCAAGAGTCTGCCACAAAAGCATATGCACTCTACGAAGTCTAAAAAATCTTGACCTTGTAAATTGCCCCATAGAGGAATTACCAGAGGATCTTGGCCATTTAGAAAGTTTAGAATGGCTAAATTTAGGAGGTACACGAGTCGAACATCTCCCTAATAGCATTTGTATGTTGAAAAATCTGAAAACTCTACTTCTTACAAGCTGTAAAGTTGTTATGAATTTACCCGAAGATATTGGTCTGTTAGAATCTTTGGAGGAACTAAGTCTAGCATTTTGCAAGATAAGAGATGTTCCTAGTAGCATCTGTAAGTTGACACATCTGAGAGAGTTTGATCTTGGCTTTTGTGATCAACTTGAGAGATTACCAGAGAAATTAGGAGACTTAAAATCTTTAGAAGAGTTAAACGTACAAGGTACACGCATAAGTCTACTTCCGCAGAGCATTTTTTTATTGAAAGATCTCAAAATCATTGGATTTAAATCAGTAGATTGATTGATATATCCCTTTGGTCTCAAAAGAAAACAACCAATTACACAAACGCCCAAAAGGAGTTTTTGGTCTACCTGTCTACCATGCACCACAGATGATTCTGAGAAGCGTGCCCATTCACAAAGAACCATCATAGAAATTGCATTCCAGGTTCTTTAATAATTTCCTTACTCTGTATTGAATTTTTTGGAATTGATTCCGATTTCGGGATTAAACCTCAAGTTATTTTTTGACCAAAAAGACCTTACTTATTTGGAACTTTTCCGATTTGCTTGATCTATTAGGTTTGTCTGTCACTCGCCGGCCAATAACATTCATTCATGGCTTGCCAACTTGGATGCTTTGTGTTTACAAAGGTAAGAAAGGGTTTCTGACGAAAAGAAATCAACAATCGAAGGTGTTTGGCGCTTCCATCTTCTTCGAAAGGTTTATCGGTAAGATTTGTGATCACTACTCATGGAAGAAAAATGTTACAAGGCTAAACTAAGGGCTTTGGTAATGATTAATGGTAACATTTGTGATCACTACTCACGGAATTAGGTTATGCCGACGAAATCAGTAGGTCGAACCTACGTTTCACTGAAATTAGGAGTTAGTGTTAACCCAGATGAAAACAGTTACTTTCATAAGGGATGCTAATGATCAGGCTTGTCTAATTCGTTGGGCCATTATGGACATTGAGAATAAGCCCAACTGGGAATGGTTTCTAGAGCTCTTAGTTGACGAGCTGGACTACAAGATGGTGGATGACTTAAACTGATACAGGCCAACATAAGGTCATCCCAAATATCCTGTATTACCTAACATTTGTTTTCATACTTAGCATATATACTAACTACACTTTACTCACAAGGTTTGTTTGAAGTTGTGAAAGAGGTTCTTTCGAGAACAAGCAATGTTCTAAGCATACATATATGCCAATTTTAAAAAGAGTTACAAAGGACTTTGAATGATGTAAATGTGGAAGGAGAGAATTTGATTGATGTACCGGTGAATGAGGTTGAAGATGATGATGATGAAGAAGGAACTAAAGAAACTCAAATGCACCTACACACTTTATAAAGTTGCTTAAACCGAGCAAAAAAACTGAAAGAATTGTGATTCGAAATTTGAAAACGTTAGCACCTGAAGTTGGTTGTCAAAACGAATCAATGATGTTTAGAGTAGTTATTTAACTTGTACGTAGAGTTGGTGGATGGGGATTTATTTGTGCTTTTGTTTCCTTTTCGTTGCTACTATATTGGCCATTTGTAATTGTTTGTGATGATCACGTAGATTCACGCCCACACATTTAACTCAAGTGATTCAATTTTTGCCTTTTTAAGCTAGTATAGCTTGACACCCGATGGTTTTGAATACCATGTTTAGGACTTTTGTAAATACCATGTTTAGGACTTTTGTAAATGGTGGTACTTATGGTATGTTACCAACTATACTCATGAATGGAAAATTTTCGTTTTTAATGATATGGTTGTTTGTCAAACTTTGATCACCATGCAAAGTACATTACTAGAAGTCATAATTATTATTATTATTATTATTTTTTGGTAAAGGAGGGCGTCACCTCCATTAGAATTTTATTAATAAAAAGAATAAATACAATAGCAGGTTGGTGACTCCCCCGCCTATGGAAAATAAAAAGGACCCTAGGACAACCTCAAGGACCAAAACAATCTAACTAACAAAAGACCAACTAAAAGGGGAAAAGAACATGCTCTAAACCTCAATACAAAGGATAACCAACCACAAATAAAAAGAACATAAGAAACAAACCTTGGTCACAAAGTCAAGGTGTGTGCTGAGTGGCAATATCTTCATTCTTCATAGGAAGCCTTCAAAAGATCTTAGCTTTAGCAAAATTTGGAGAGGTCTTGGTAGGAAGGCTTAGGTATCTCGAGCGAACTTTATTAGTAATAGTCTTGACCATAGTTTCATAGGGTCTTCTCTTATGCTTGAAGATCTTATTGTTTCTTTCGATCCAAATATGGTAGACAGTCCCTGCAAGAACTAAACGATGAATAATAGACCAAATGGACTTACCCCTTGTGGCTTGCTTGAGGAGGCCGATGATGTTGATCCACTTGCTAGGAACTTTGTTGAGATTTATCAAGGCTGTCATCTCCAAATCTAAGATGGATATGAACCCTCAAAGAATAAGTGGTTGAAAGAGTCACGACAAAGATAGCAGAAGCTGCAAATCATAATTATTTTAGAAGTACATTACCAAAAATGTTAACATTCTTAAAGCAAATTACTAAAAACATAAATATTTTGAAATTACATTACCAAAAACGTTAACATTCAGAAAGTACATTGCCAAAAACATAAATATTTTGAAAATACATTACTAAAATCTTTCATTACATCACCAAAAAACATAAATATTTTGAAAGTATATAAATTAAAACTCTAACGAAGGCAAAGCCAACAAACTTTTTTTTTCTTTGACAAACATTACAAATCCTAAAAGAGCCATTGACAAAATAACAACTACCAACTCTATGACAACCCTAAGATACACAACACTATCAATTTTTGTTCTTCAAACTTCTTATTTTTCTCTTCAAATTTCTTTTTTTCTTCACACTAAACACAAGTCTTTTTTTTTTTTTGCTTCAACTTCAATTTCAGAAACTCGCTCATGACCTAAAAACTTGAAATTATGGTTTCTAAGAGAGGGCTCCACGTTTTTAGCATTTTCCAGTTCATTAAATGAGGTCACACCATCTACTTTGAACCGGCTCATGACCTAAAATCCTGATAAAAATGGAAAATCAAAAGCTAGTCATAATGTAACGTCTTTTTCGGGGAAAAATATTTGATGTTTAATCGGATAAAAACCCAAAATATAAGGCTTTTTATGATATTAACCCTTTGTTATTAAATTAGGATGTACTAAATAAATCAATATTTATAACATCTAACCACCAAACTCCATTTACCCCGTTTGTTATGAAAATAGATGTAATAGAATTCATATCCTCTATTCTTCAAAAATCATATACAAGACAAAATAAAAACTATAGAATGACAAATAAGATCAAAGCTCTTAAGGCTTGTTTGTTGCATGTTTTCAATGATGAGAATGAAGTCATTCATATATTTTGCATAGGCCAAAGATCTAAAGCGTATCTATATCCCATCTTTTTTGTTACAGTCCCCGATGCACGTCAAACTTGGGGAAACGAAAAGAAAATATTAAGTTGTTATAATAAACAACTCAATGAAAAGTACATTGTTATTTCTTGTATGTAACCTTTATACTGCAACTATTTTGAGACAAAAACTTGTAATATTATGTTTTTTAAAGTAGCATCGATTTGTGAATGTTTTCTGTGGTCAAACGATACTGAAGATTTGGTTTGCGCCAAAAATATTTTGTAGATCTTGTCCATATGAAAATGCGATGAGAATTGTTGTGTGTTGAGGGGCAATAATGTAATTAACTACCTCACGGTTAAGATTGGTTTAGTAAGATAGTAGAATTTAAGTTATTTTATAACATCTAGCCACCAACCACCACTTACCCCGTTTGTTATGAGAATGATGTAATAAACTTTTTACTCTTTAAAAATCATACTCAAGACACAAAATAAAAACAATAGAATGACGAATAAGATCAAAGCTATTAAGGCTTCATTTGTTTCATGTTTTCAATTATGAGAATGAAGTCATTCATATCCTATCTCTCACTTCAAACATATTACAATCTGCTATGTCATGTTCCGCCTTTAATCCAAGAAAACAATGGATACGAAATTACTAACAAAACAAATCCTTAAAAGATCCACAACATATAAAAATAAAAATGTACAAGAATGCATATAGATAGTATGACAACCAAAAGGTGCGTGCTAAATCATCAAATACTCTCTTTTTACTCTTCTTTCTTATGAGTCGACTCGGTTTCCTGTGTTTGATTGGGTACTACCAGATGTTTGACACTCGCCTCAGCTTCTGAAACAAACTTAGGATCAGGCTCGTGTTTCTCTGAAGGCTCTTTCATTGCCAAGTAAATGTAGAATGCTATTACGATATTCACCGATACAACAGCAAGAAATCCACTTATTAGTGTCACTGAATATGGAGACATGTCAGCAGAACCTATTGAAAAATTAAAAAAGGCAATGTAATGGAAGTTAGGCTTTCTTTCTTTTCCACTTAATGGGTTCAGAAGTTGATAATCCGGTAAGTTGCATATGGGTGTTCCTTTTGACTGAATGCACAAAGGAAGACTTAATAGAAAAAGTATGAGAAAAGAAGTCGATATCTGTACAAAAGAATATTGAGAAATTCAAATGAAACTTACCAGGAAATAGATTGTTGTTGAAGGCGTACAAAATTGCAATAGGAACAGCCCACATCAACATAGATGTTACAAAGAACTTCTCTATAACTTTTGCCATTGATACCTTCAAACTGTGATAATTCATAAATCATATGCTTTACCAAGTTATTCATGTATGTAACTTTAACAGATGTAAACTATTTGATCACGTTTAAGTAAATAATATCAATGGAACTATGAAACCAATCAAATGGAATCAAAATTAAAGGCGTGGATGTTTATGAAGCCTAAATATCCCTATTTTAAAAAGGAGCTAGGGCTGTGGATATTATACAACATAATATCTTGAGATTTGGATCTTCTATTATCAACATAAAGCAAATAGATATTGTACAAAATAATTTAAGACATTTGGATCTTCCATGGTCAACATAAAGCACACAGATTACACACAATATTAACACAGAAATCATACATATATGCAGAGGACAAAATGTAATTCAAACAAAAAAACGGATACCAGATGCAATCCTCCACAAAACCTAATCCATTCAAAACAATTATTCTATAAGACAATGATTAGGGCTTCTTATTCTAGATATCCACACTACCATAGAATAGATTCAGTTTCATCAAAAACACAATCTACATCATATTAGTTGAATCATAATAAAGACAAAGAAACCACACGACTCTATACCCTTTTCTAACACAAATTCTGAGGAGTATACAAATCTTCAGATAAAACCTAATACATGCAGTAACAACTCAATGAGAAACTTGTTTAAGAAACTAAATTACTAATAACATGTAATCTTCGAATGAAACCAATATATAAAAACAAAATACAAGTCCTTGAAGCGATGTAATTGAAGAACTTTACCTAGAAAGAGATGGAAAGCGAGATTGATTTAAACTGGAATCAAAACTTAAACCCAGAAGCGTTTGTTAGTTCTTCTTCTGATGTAAACAACATAAAGCACATAGGAGGTCTAAAACGAGGAGATCGGACAAGCATACTCTGTACCAGGAGATCGGAAAAGGCGATACAGTAGCTAGCGTCGCCGGAAATCGGAGGTCTAACAAGGTCTGGTAGCGCAGGCGATCGGAGATCGGAGGTGGGAGAGAAATTGCAAGTGTGGAGTTATCGTGAAAAAGTGTGGAGGATGCTTTGAACGGAGAGGGGAGCTGCGAACTGAGGTATAGGTTTCGGGGGTATTAATGTCATTTTATCTTAAATAAGTTGGAAGCTCTTCAAAAAAGTTAAGACCCCTTAACTATTCAAAATCTGGGTTTTGAGGGGTTTCAAAAATAACAAACTATTTCAAATCTCAATCCGAAGGTCGCGGAAGAAAGAGAATTTTGATTTTGATCACTATTCCAAAGTTTTTTAATAATATGAAATAACAATTTTATCATTCATAAAAAGATAAAAACAATAAATTTATGCTAAAAAGTATATGATGTATTAATTTACAAAATTGTGAAAATATGATTTAATTCTTTTGTAATTAGCACATAAGAAAATGCATAATAATTGAACTTGTTTTTGTTACTTGTGATATTTCGTAGCGATCCAACAAAGCTTTTTTTTTTTCGGGCTTCTTTTTTAAAACTAAAAATTCTTAAAATCTTCATATCGCCCAAATCATTTTACAAACTATAACAAAAAAAAATTATATTTTTGTAATTAGCGTTGTAGGACCACCAACGACGATGGTATGTGTTGTTGATTTTTACATTTAAAATATTTTTGCGTATTTTTGTTTACCCATCTGTAATTACGATATTTGACTATTTTGATATATGTTTAGTAAGTGCTACTATAAATAGGTTAATATAACATCATGTCAACTTAATTATTAGTTGTTGAAAGTTCAGTAGCATTCTATAGCAGTTTGACATTTTGAGATACTCTAATGCATATATAACTTTGATATATGTTTAGTAAGTGCTACTATAAATAGGTTAATATAACATCATGTCAACTTAATTATTAGTTGTTGAAAGTTCAGTAGCATTCTATAGCAGTTTGACATTTTGAGATACTCTAATGCATATATAACTTCAAATTTTATTATGTTCATCGATTATTAAATTTATATTCAGTTCTATATTTGCTATGATTCAGACTCAAATAAATATGTTAGCGGTGCCCTTTTTGACAAGAGAAGCATCTCTTGACTCCGCCCCGGAAAATCTTTTTTCCCCGCCCCTGGATTCCTCGGTTTCGTCGCCATCGAAATACCTCCATTACCCTTGCTCCCCCTCATTTCCTCTCTTTCCCCTAAATCCTCCGTTAACCTTGAAATTCTTCGTTGACCAAGTTTAATCTCTTTTGTTTCATTTAACATTACATATTACACTCTCTTTGATTACTATAAACATATTACATTGTGGTCATTTTATGTTTAATATATTTTTAATATTAAAAATAATTAGATAAAATGTAATTTTTCGGAGCCCCTCCCACCCCCCCCCCCCCCCCCCAAAAAAAAAAGGTATTAAGATGGGGCTCCTTAACCCTCATAAAAATTAAACGAGAGTAAAACATGTCTTGCCCTCAATAACGAACTAAAAAATTGTAAAATTTCTCCGTTTAGGAACGACCCTCCATAGATGTTGGGGTTAAACTTTATTTTTGACACTCCTAGCATGGAACTTTCAAGTTGAAACAATAATAACTTTTGATGGTGTCTAAGTATTAATTATTTAATAAAAGAAAAGAAGAATATAATGGCATCTATGTATTAGTTATTTAATAAACAATAATAAGTTTTGATTGATGTGGTAATTGACAATTACATTTGTGTTGGTGATTTGTTATCATAAATATTATTTAAGTGCAATGAGATTAATCTGTTGATCAAAAGTGATATTGATAAATATTGAACAAGTAAGGTGTAACGCTCCGTTTATTTAAATAAATTGATAAATGTAAGTCTCAGACTAATTTGTGAAGAATTTTAAAAGTCGGGGGTTAAAAGTGCAAGTTCTGGACTTAATTTGAAAAGGATTTCAGAAGCCAGGGTCCGTTTGGTAATAAATGGGTTTAAATTGAAAAGATTTGAAGGCTTAGGGGGCTTATTGGTATTATGGGGATCTATTATGAAAAGAATTATGGAACCAGGGGCAAGAGAGTAAATAACTGATTAAAGTTGAAAAGTTTTAAGGAAGGAGGGGCTGATCCTGTCAATATGGAAATAAGTTTAATGGGACGGGGTATATATGTATTTCGGGAACCCTAACCCTAGAAGACTATTCCAGCCGCCAACCTTCACACCTTGTGACTCCTCAGTCGCCACCTCCCTTCCACTCACATTTCCGATGCGGACCAAGTTGCTATCCACTGCCGGCGACGCTGTGAGCGACAAGGACCACCGAGACCAGGTTTCCGCGCTGTGAACGGCAAAGGGTGAGCTATGAAGTCGATGTCTAGTTACGAGCGGTGGAGGTCCGAGGTAGCCTAGTCGTTGCTGTTGTTTGGATGTCGTACGACCACCTCCCTACTGTATTCTTCCTCTATTCTCCGCTTCTGCCCGGTGCTGCGACGCTGTGGGATCCCGATGAATATTCGTTTTTTCTGCTCATCTGCTTCACGCCACCACAGGGGTGGCCGGGGCTGGTGCGTATTCGAAGGTGGATGTGTGAGTTTTGGTGCTATGGGCTTGTGTTTCTTGGCTGAGAATCAACAGAACCGCCGCCACCACCGTGAGGTGGTGGCTGTTATCGCAAGGGTTGTTGTTGCCGCTGCCATACACCGCCAGGCGGGTGGTTGGCTTCTCTTTCCAAGCAAAAGACGTGAAGATGGGTGTGTTGCAGTTGGTAAGTGTATGTGTATGGCTAGAATTCCCGGAAAAGACATCACCACCACCATAGGGTGGTGGCTGCCGCCAATCGCCACTGCCGGCCACCATGGTGTAACACCCAAATTTTCAAAACAATTTTTCACATTTTATAAAACACATTTTCATTCATAATCGTTATAAAAACACCATTGTATCACATAGTCAATCATAACATCATATCCCAAGATCATAATAAAAATCTCCCCGTGTGTGTACTGATCAAGCCGACGCCTTCCCGCGATCCTCGCTGGTACCTGAGACACATAACACAACACTGTAAGCATAAATGATTAGTGAGTTCCCCAAAATACCACACACAACACATATTAGCCACTCGAGGCTATAACTCTGATGACCCTCTGGTCAAGGTGTCTCTGTGGGACCCTCCAGTCCCATAACTCTGTGGGCCCTCTAGCCCTAACTCTGTGGGCCCTCTGGCCCTAACTCTGTGGGCCCTCTGGCCCTAACTCTGTGGACCTTCCGGTCCTAACTCTGTGGGCCCTCTGGCCCTAACTCTGTGGACCTTCCGGTCCTAACTCTGAAAACTCTGTAACATGCATAGCATATAACACATAGAAATCACATCATGCAAAAGCATACAACATACTCTGTCTCATAGCTCTAATTACCACTCTAGGTAAAGTATAGTGAGAAGACTCACCTCGGGTAACTCGGTAAAGCTCGAACTCTGTAAAATCAGGTCTAGCCTCCGCCTAATCATGTAAAATAAATACTCTCAATCAATACATCTCTCAAGGCTAGACTATTCCTCCTCTTAGTACTCTCAGAAGGGTAAAAGACCATTTTACCCCTCTCATAACTCAAAGGCCCCACTATAGACCAAACCCTAAAAGTCAACCAAAAGTCAACCCTCCGGGTTACGCTGCGCGTACCAGATGTGTACGCTGGGCGTACCCGGCAGTCTCTCAGAATCGGGGTGCGCGACCCCTTACGCTGCGCGTACTGAGATTACGCCCCGCGTAACTCTCAGTTTCAGTCCCTTAGCTCTTGAGGTCTTAATCAGTTAAGACTCTCGTCCAACTTTTAGATCTGACCGTTTCTAAGCCTCTTAATCCATAAAGTCGATAACTTTAAGCCTTTGCATGGCTGAACAAGTCACTAACACCCAAAATATACCACTTCTAGCCCTAGAAAGCTCAAAACTCTAGCATGTCCTCATATCAACGACCAAGATAGAAACTTTATGGATCTAAAACATAAATATCACTGAAAGGGGACAGATCTTGGACCATGGAGCACCTTACACTCATAAAGTCTCCACCTTTGGGACTTTTAACCCTAGAAATGGCCCATGCAACAACAAACCAAAAGAAGAGGAAAGCTTTGAACTTTATACCTCTAAAAGCAGCTCCTTCCTCTGTAGATCTCAGATCCAAACTTGCACTTCAAGCTCTAGCCTCCACAAGCTCCTCTCCTTCTTCTTCACTAACATCCCAAGGCACTTTTAGCTCCAAAATCACACATACTCACTAAGGACGATGGGAAGTTCTCTCTTAGGGTTTTACTCACTGCTAGGGAGGCTGAGAAATGAGCCTTAGCATCCAATATATAGGGCACAAGTCAGAAATTAGGGTTTGCACCTGGACACATTACGCCCAGCGTAACCCTGAGTACGCCCAGCGTACTCAGGCGAGTCCGCGTCCAAAATAAGCGCATGAGTACGCGCAGCGTACTCTTGAGTACGCCCAGGGTACTCATTTGCTACCAATTCCTCTTAAGGGCTTAACTTGACACTTTGAATAAAAGAAGGGCTAAATAGTTGTACCTGAATTTCGGGATGTTACAATTCTCCCCCACTAGAACTAGACTTCGCCCTCGAAGTCTCACTCAAAAAATAACTCTGGATACTGCTCGTGCATCTCTAACTCCGGCTCCCAGGTCATTTCAGAACCCTTCCGATGTTGCCACTGGACTTGAACCAATGGCACCTCCTTGTTTCTCAAAGTCTTGATCCTTCGATCCACAATCGCAACCGGTCTCTCAACATAATTCAGGCTCGCATCCACCTGAATGTCCTCTAACGGAACCACTGCCGACTCATCAGCGATACACTTCCTCAACTGAAACACGTGGAAGGTATCGTGAATCTGGCTCAACTCCGTAGGTAGCTCCAAACGATACGCTACCCTGCCCACCCTGGCAGTCACCCTGAAAGGACCAATATACCGAGGTCCCAACTTACCCCTCTTCCTGAATCGGATCACCCCCTTCCAAGGAGATACCTTCAGGAGTACTAAATCACCAACCTGGAACTCAAGCTCGGATCGTCGCCTATCCGCATAACTCTTCTGGCGACTCTGAGTGGTTCAACAACCTCTGTCTGACCCGCTGAATCTGCTCATTCGTCTGAAGTACTATCTCTGTACTACCCATCACACGCTGCCCGACCTCACCCCAACAAATGGGAGTCCGGCACCTCCTCCCATACAACAGCTCAAAGGGTGGCATACTGATGCTCAAATGATGGCTGTTGTTATAGGAAAACTCAACCAAGGGTAAATACGTGTCCCAACTTCCTCCGAAGTCCAATACGCATGCCCGAAGCATGTCCTCGAGCGTCCGAACCGTCCGCCCGCTCTGCCCGTCTGTCTGTGGGTGGTAGGCGGTACTGAAATGCAACCTCGTACCCAACTGGAGATCGACTCAACCCCGACCTCTATCATCTGATACTATCGTTGGACCCTTCGGTCCGGTCTATATCGTTGGACCCTTCAGTCCGGTCTGTACAACACATCACCAGGACTCAACTCAACTCAAGAGTTTGGTCCGCCCGTAGTTGGAATCGCTCGTTCCAATGACTCATTCAACTCATAGTTTGGGGACCCGCAACCCATGCGTACTTTACTTATCCAATCCCTTCGGATTGGATGTCCACACTTACTCAGAATGTAATGATTCCCAATCATTGAGGAGACCCCGGTCTCACCCCTGGTCCGACCACCAGGCTCCCAAAACTCATGTGTAGGGCTTTTCAAGCCTAAAACCCTCCTGTGTCATGCTCAGATCAAGAAGGCTTCCTCATAACAACCTCTCGCTAATTAGTGCGTATTACGGCTCCTCATAACATCACCACAACCTCCTACTGACTAGTGAGTACTACGGCTCCCCATAGTATCACAACAACCCTCTCTGACTAGTGAGTACTACGGCTCCCCATAGTATCACAACAACCTCTCTCTGACTAATGAGTACTACGGCTCCCCATAGTATCACAACAACCTCTCTCTGACTAGTGAGTACTACGGCTCCCCATAGTATCACAACAACCTCTCTCTGACTAGTGAGTACTACGGCTCCCCATAGTATCACAACAACCTCTCTCTGACTAGTGAGTACTACGGCTCCCCATAGTATCACAAACAACCTCTCTCTGACTAATGAGTACTACGGCTCCCCATAGTATC